CAGAAAAATTAATGCGGTAGGACCATTAGAAAAACATATTGATGTCTTTATCGTTAGACGGCTGTAAAATATGCAAAATTTCGTCATTGTTGTAATAAAATAAATTTTAAATAAAACTAATATTATATTATATAATAAAATTATATAATAAAATTATTATATAAAATTATTAGTTGTATTTAAAATTTATTGTATTACAACAATGCATTCCTAATGTTGACTGTGGCATACGGAGAAGCTACCTCGGACCGAAGCAACGTTTATCGGTGGTACAAAATGTTCTCAGAAGGCCGAGAAGATGTGAACGACGAAGAGCGTACCGGACGCCCGAGCACTTCAACAACAGACGAAAAAATTAATTGCAGGAGCGTGGTGCATCATGATGTCTTGCCAGAGGGTATAACGCTCAATAAGGAATATTACCTGCAAGTTATGCGCAATTCGCGCGGAGCAATCCGCCAGAAACGCCCGGATTTCTGGAAGAACAAAAATTGGCTTTTGCACCACTATAACGCCCCTGCTCACACATCGTTGCTTGTGCGCGACTTTTTGGCCAAAAACAACACACTAATGATGCCGCAGCCACCGCATTCCCTGGATCTGACCCCCTGTGACTTTTTCTTGTTCCCTAAACTGAAGAGGACCATGAAAGGACGACGTTACGCTACGATTGACGGGATAAAGACGGCATCGAAGGAGGAGCTAAACAAGATAAAAAAAAAATGATTTATTGAAGTGCTTCGAAGATTAGAAAAAAGTTTGGCACAAGTGTATAATATCTCATGGGGATTACTTTGAAGGGGACAAAATAGATATTCATGAATAAATAAATAATTTTTGAAAAACATAAAATTCGCGATATTTTTTGAACACACCTCGTAGTTCAGTGAAAAGATTTCGTTCGTCCATCTCATTCAATTGACCATGCAATGATTTAAAAGGATATCGCGCGATCTCGCAAAAACTATTTTATCTTCCCAATATGTTCACTGGCAAGACGAATACATTTCTCAGATCTTTCAATTAAATTACTTGTAGGGAGGGTGGATGATAATCGTGCAGGGTTTTAAAAATGGTTGTATCGGATACTCCAACTATTGTATTTCTGCGATTTGTTTTTTCTTTAGTCCAGCATCTTCGGAGATATATGTAATATTCAACTTTTTTCGCCTTCGTGTCGTCTTCAAGGGTTTAAATACAGTACAGTGCATAACAGTTTTTCCCCGAACAAGAGTCTCATTCATTGTGGTCGTCATAGATTTTCCTTGCTTGGTAAGGAAAAAAGGTGTACCCAGATTGACATAAAATTAGTATGATTTGGATATATGTACAGGGTGCGCACTCTATATGTGGTCAATGGAAACATTGAATAACTTTGACTGGTTTCAACCGATTGCGTGCAGTAAAAGCTTTTTGGAAAGATTATTCGCATACAATTTCAGTCATGTGATGCTTTACGCACAAAGATTTCGCGGAAATAGTTACAATGTACATTGAGTACAATCTTTCAGTTGTTGTGCGTATTTTTGATGACTGATGAGCCTCTTTTCACGCTATCCGGCAGTGTAAATAAACAAAACAGCCACTTTTGGGGAAAATAAAATCCTCATGTCATTCATGAAACTCCACTGCATGCTTAGAAAGTGACTGTTTGGGCCGGCGTCTACTCAAAAATCATCATTGGGCCGTGGTTCTTCAAAGTTAGTGGAACTATCGACGGGGATTGGTATCGTTGGATGTTGGCGCACTCTGATGCGTGAAAGATATCTGAAAAACTTTTGGTTTCAACAAGGAGAGGATATCGACTGGCCACCAAGATCGCCCGATTTGACTGTATAAGACTTTTCTTTTGGAGCTTTTGGAAAAGCAAAGTGTATGCCAACAAACCGAAGACATTGGACGAGCTGAACAACAACATTAGCGCAATGAAGCGGGGTCATTTGATCGACTTTGTTTTTCGAACCTGCCTGGAAAAAGGTAATACTTTAATTTTGATACTAAGAAAGGAAGTTTATCAAAATTAATTGAAATTTTTTCAAGTTACTCAACATTTCCATTGACCACATATAGACGGCGCACCCTGTATATGTACATACATCGATCGTGCGTATGTATTTACGGGTTCCCAGCTATTCTTATACGTTCAAATTGAATTTGAATAAGCAAAGATCAAAATGGTGCGTTTGGTTAACTTCGAGGTATTTTCGTGAAAGACTTTAAGTAGAGGATAAGCTTGGTCAATAACGTAATAAAAAAGTTAATATTTTGGGTTAGATATTATAATTTTTAGTCACTTAACACGTTACGATCCTAATAAGCCTAATCTCCCCACTATGACTCTCTCATTCCGCGAACATAGAAGCGTTCCCTCATAGCATATTTTCAGGTTTATTTCATTTACATCATGAAGCCTCGAATATTTTGTATTTTCTACATACCTAACATGCTCGTACATACATATGTATGTATTTATTGTAAAAGTATGGAAGTATTCCTTTATAGGTCGCTATACTTTTTTCTGATGAGGGGTGACAAATGAAATGCTTCCCGTTGAAGCACACCGTACATATGTACATACATATGTACGTATCTACAAATGAATATTGACGTAATTTCACCTTTGTTTTGATTACTTTGGTTTTACTTGCTTCTTGCAAAAACTTCGCATTTAGGGTTTTTTTCGGTAGCAGCTATCGATGTACAATAACATCGTTCGTCGGTAAATACCAGTAATTCAATATTTAAATACTTGTATGAATATTGTTATCAATGGTTCTCTGGTATCACAGATTTTATCGAATCGTATCGTTTCAATGAATTTCGCACGAGCTATGTACTTAAATTTAAATGATTAAAATTAAATATGTAGATATTAAAATTTAAACGTTTGTACGTTTGTGCTTTGAAAACACTCAACTATTGAATCAAGACCCAGCAATAAAAGTGACCAACGATTATCTAACGAACTCGACACTTACGGGTGATGGTAGACAGCCACCGCTCAATCTAGTCTCAGTTCATTTAACGGTATAATTTCACATGGACATGTCCTACGATGGAGAAAATTGTCCCCCTACTGCATTTCCTTTCTCTAGTTATTTCTATAGTGCTGAGTAATGGGTCACTTCTATTGAATTTAGACATCAGTCACAACTAATCATTTGAAAACAAAATCAAAAAGGGTTTCTTATTCTGCATCACATTCAGGGGTGTTACAGAATCCAATTGTTGTCGGAATCAGAATTGAAACCGACAAAACTCGGTTGAAGGGGTTACACATGCCGATTATTGGTTTACATATCGGTTTTATTTTCGAAACAGAATTTGTGTCGATTTTAGGTGTTAAAGAAATCAATTTATCGGTTTAAATGTCTGAATTAAACCGATCAGTTATTCGTTGACAGAATTGTGTACAAATTTCTTTGCAAGCGGAAATTTTATCAAAATTTAAGTCATAAACAATGGATTTTACAACCAGCAATGCCTGAAACGCACGGTACATGCTGTAAAAATGGGCGCGAGCTCTCCGTTTTCCATTGTTGTTCGTTCCTAAAATTATCCAGCGTTTACAAATCAAACGTCCAAAAGCCTTTAGCATTTCTGTTATAACTTCAGAGACAGTAGGTCGCGCTAAGGAGAAACTTGCGTCCCGCTGACTTTCTGCCAAAAACCGCAGTGTGGCTGAAGGATGAAGCACATGTGGGATAGACAGCATATCTAACTGGTCTTCAATGATACCCAGCACTATTACAAAGGCTTATTTGTTAAGACGATATTGGTCTATGAATCTACATACAAACAAATTTTGTATCAACAAATGCAAATGCATTTACATCGACTCTGGCAGCTCCAGCGGATTGCTCTTATCCCTTACAATTTTGCGCTTTATTTTCTGGATTATTTTTTGATATCTTTCTTTCATCAAAAATGCTATCTCTGACGCAGCCATTTTATTTTTAATAATCTCAAAATGTGTTAATACCAGCACAAGTTTGAAATAATTAATCACAAGTGTGATGACAGTTGATTCGAATATCGGTTTTGCTTATCTTCGAAAGAAGCAAAGTCATGTCGGTCTCATAGTATCATTTCAAACAGATATTGATTTTCAATTCCGATAAATAAGCGATTCTGTGTTGGTTTTATAACACCCATGATTGGCTTTGGCCGGAACTAGAATGAAGCATTTTCGCAAAATAAAAAATTGGTAGTTTTTGATTTTTTTACCATTTTTTCAATTATTATTTTACTATTAATATGTTTTTGTTTAATTGTTTATAAATATTTTAAATAAAAATGAATATTTTCGGTTGTAGTACCGACCATAGAGACAGTTTAGTAGTAAAATGCCGTTATGCCGTCTAAATAAGTGTGTCATCCAATTGAAAATACGTGGTTTCGAGAAAAAGGCGATTAAAATGCTTTAACGGCCAGATTTACCATTTGACGCGCACCGCTCTCCTCTCTTCTATACTTACTTCCTGGCTTTGCGGACCTTCGGGACTAATTCTATATTATTTCTAATCGTATTTTCTAGCAATTTACAGGAAAAAATGTCTTTTTCTGAAAATTTGTTATAGGAACCTGACCTTAAACTGAGCATCTTAAAGTAAAACTTGCAATAATTACGACTTTTAAAAATAGTAAACAAACTTTATTTGTTTTTCTTTCAATTTTACTTTGTTTTTGTATATTTTTATTTTCGAAATGCGAATTCAAAATTGTTTGCTTGTTAGTTATTCCACAATTCTCTATCACTTAGTTTGGTATGTACAAATTACAATAGAGCATGTAACCCATCGTTTTTTAGTTGATTTAAGTATTTAGATCTTAATTGTTAGCATTTACGCTGTACTTGTAGTGTTCGCTTAATCAGCTGCCGCAGCAACAAAATTGTAATTTGTTGTATTTTTTATATTTTTGCACACTATATTATGCACGATTTTTCAAATAGTTCTCAAATATGTAAGTATATTTTTGAATATTAGTTTCTACTTAAATTTGCATTCAAATTACGTATTATATTTAATATTGAATAAGTTGAATATATGGAATTATGTTTCAATGGTTATTACTCAGTGCCTATAGAAAAGCATCCCTGCCAAATCGCTGATTTATTTATATTAACAGCGTAAACTAATTTTTTTAGTAGGTTTCCTAAACATTTAATTAAAACGCCTTTCTTGCGTTGTCTAAAACTAGTAGTGTCGAACGTTGAGGGAGATTAAGTGGAGTCAGTTCTTGCATTCGTCTGGCAAAAATAACGGCTGGGTACAGACTCTGATCGACTGATGCGCTCATTCATACTTTCTTATCAAAGTACATTATGTACTTTGGAATATTAGTTGCATATATATATATATATTTAAATATGTTGGAGTCACCGGAGACCGAAGACTGGAGACTGGAGTGAAATCATTTAGTGATCCAAAGCATAAAAAATAAAGATACCTAACAAAGGAACTGAAATAATTATACTTATATAATCGATATTTCTTCTTGTTGTTTTTTCTTTTATGCAGTTAGCTTAGTCAATTATAAATTTGAAGAATGTAAGGATTGTTTTTGTTTTGTTTTTGTGACAGCTAAAAACTTGTTTATTTCTTCTTATTTTTAGCATTTTTGCTATCTGAATTATTTTCCACTTTTTGCTTCTTCTTTTGTGGTTGTGCCTCTTCCTCTTCTTCCTCGCCAGTCTCCTCATCGGTCTCTTCATCCTCGATGTCGACAACGTCGTCCTTGATGTTTTGTCCCATAATGTAAACTGGTCCGCTGCCTTTTATCAACTTGAATGTCACCGATGTTTCGAAGAATTCCACATCGGGATTTACTGCGCGTGTTTCGCCAGCTTTTAACACAGCGATGGGGATTTTAAGTGAGTCCTTCACAGTGTGAACCTGCAATGGAAAAGAAATGCGAGAACAGTTTATATCGAAATATTTTACGTAAATTTTCCCCAAGTATATACACGAACATTAGTACATTATATATGATATTTATTAAATATATAATCTTTTTAAATATAATCTTTTACTAATAATTAGTGCTACTTGTTTCGAATGCAAAATTTTCTGCTAAAAGAGCGAACTGCTATTGAAATTAATAAAATTAAACTAAAATTTTTTATATTTTAATGCAATATAAAAATTTCAAATGTTAACAAACAAAACTTAAATAAATGGCAACATATTCAGTTAATAATAAAATAGCTTAAAAGTGATAATAGAGCCGCAGACATTTTCCCTATGATTATACCAATTTCAACTTTCTCCCTTAATATACTTTTTTTATGCTCAACAATATTTCACACGGTACATCAAATTTTCAAATTTCCATTAATTTTTTAGTTGTACCTGTATAACTGTAAATCTTTGTCTAGACTTTTGTTGGCGATAATTTTGCAAAATGTCAAAGTCTAATGATAAAGCACCCTTTGACTGACAACCCACTGTGAGATATGTATGTATGTACATATATATTCACCGACTAAGAACTAAAAACGCCAATCAAGTATTTTCCATGCCTCTATAAAAACAAAAAGATTTCACTATCCTATAAAAAAACGCAAATTTTTTTGCAGTAAAATCAACAAAAAAAATTTTATTTCAAATTGGAAATAAATTTTTGTAGCCTTTACAATTAAATGATGGAAATTGAAAACTGTCAAAAAAAAAAAATAAAAATATACAACTGCTCCCTAGGCAACCATTCCACTTACCACATTGCTGATAAATGACGGTAAAAGTTTAATAATTTTTGGCGCCACTTAAAAAATCTTAACACATACACATGCGTACAAATCACATGTACTGCACTTTGAAAGTACTTTGTGAAAGAAAAGCAAATATGCCTCTGAGCCAATAGGCAGGTGGTCAAATAAACGAACTGACAACAAACGAAACCTACTGCCAAACCCAATCGCTATATACAATAGTTATATATAATATTTGTAGCAAATTCAACAAGTGGGCCAAAGTAAAAACGTCCGTCTAACTACGAAAATGTCTCATTTCGAACTCAAACGCCGGCATCGACAGCAACACAGATAGGAGCAATACCAACCAAAGCGGATGAAGGAAATTCAAATCGGGGAAAAATAGAATTTTGAAAATTGAAAAGTAGTTAATAAATTAAACTAAGTCGACTGTGTAACATTTAAAGTAAACAAATTAAAAATAAAATAAAAACTCAAATAAAATATGAGCGAGGTGAAAGGTACGAAATGTGTAGTATGTGGGTGGAAAAGACTTAAAAAAAAAAAAAAGTATAGTGTGAAATGGCCAGCAACGATGCGAAACCAAATTTCATGGAATACATACTGTTGTCTGTTGATATTGACAATAAGAGTACATTAAGTAATTACTATAACGATAATTGATAATTACATAGAAATATTGTGTGTACAAATATAGGCGTTCATGCGCATTTACTTACGCACTTACACAATAAAATACGGATATACTTATGGACTTATGAATAATGTGCATAAAGAAAGATGTTTGATTGTAAACACTCTTCTTATTTATTTAAATTACACATGTGAACATAATTTTGCAAACATATTTGCGGTCTGTATATTCATGGATATTTTTTAAAAATTATGAAACTAAACATAATTTAACTAAAAATAATTGGTATTGAGTTTAGAACATTAAAATTTTTGAAAACAATTTAATTAAAACACTATAAGTTTCGAACTTAACAAGGTGAAGATATTACGGCAGCGAATATAAATTTTGAAAATTCGAAATTGAACGTGGTGTTTGCTAAAATTAATTTTCTTATGGAAATTCGTTTGATTTGCTATTTTTAGGTGTTAAAATCTTGAGAACAGTGGCTTTGTGATTGTGGTTTGCGCGAAAAGAGTAGAGCGTACTTAAAAATACAGCTAATTTTCCATAGTTTTGACAATACAAATCATTTATATAAATCACCAGCTGACCCAAGCGGCGTTGTCCTGCGTAAAATTATTGTGCTGAAAATCATATATGTACTAAGCAACATTTTTTTTGTTTTCTCTCTGATAGATTTGAAAAAATTAATTTAAAAATAAAAACAAAATTTAAAAAATAAAAATAAGTTTAAAAAATTTGGAAAAAATTAAGAAAATTAAAAAATTTTAATAAGTTTAAAAAAAAAATTAAAAAAAAATTATGGAATTTTCCGACTTTTCCTCAGGAAAAGTATAAGTTTTTTTTTTATTTCTTAACCTTCCAAGATCCACAACGAACAACCTCTGAAAATTTCATAAAGATTGATACAGCCATTTTTAAGCCCTAGCGTCCGTCACTAACAAACAAACATAATATATAATCTTAAAAATTATTCTTCAAAAAATAAAAAAATAGTTGCTTTGTTTTTTGAGCATCTCTAGGTTTTACAAAATTTATCTTTCTATCGTTTCCTACAATTAACTCTGCATATTATTTCGGAGTTTGTAAAAGCAACTTAAACCATTATTTTCAAAATGCAGAACATGTGTGAACAATGTGAACATGAATCAGCAAAAAAGTAACAATAAATGAAAAATGTGAATCTCGCGCAAAAAGAAAAATTTTCCATTTTTGGAAATGTAAGAAAAAAATTTTTTTTGTAGCTACTCTAACCTGAGCTTGTCTACTATATCTTCAGTTTCAATAATCACTTCAAATTATTCACTAACTGAAATGAGTTACTATTATCAAATAAATATGTATCACTAAAGTTTTCATGCAAAAACAAATCAAATACATATTTAAATAATTCTTTGTCTTCCATTTCTTTACTTTAATGCAATATTCGTCAAATCATTGTCAAAATATTTAGTTAATGCTGATAAATAAAATGCAAGCATAATCCACCCAAACGCTTTTTCCTGATATGAAAGTTCCGCATTCCGTTGCATGAAAACTCTTCTAATCTGATTTCTTTCGGAGCTTCTACGCAACGTAAATTAGTAATTACACAGCTTGGGTACATAAATTGGGTGTTGTGAACAGCAAGAGTTCAGACAGGAAGATTAAATTGTTACTTTGCATTTAAACAGACTTAGCAAATTGGACAATATGATGGGACACGCAAAAAAAAGCTTTAGAATTTTTTGCTAGTGACTTGTATATATGTACAAGTGTTATTAAAAACCACATAAGTACATACGTAAAAATTGTGGATTTAAAATGTCACGACAATATCATACAACAAATCAATTGTTTTCAGCTAAAATGACAGAATCAATGCTAACACATTGTTACTCTTCAAACAGCACGATAAAAATTAAAAAATAACCTTAAGACATATATTTCTTATCAATGTTTTGTTTATACGTATATATATATTTTTATTACAACTCTAATTGATTCCTTTTTCGCAGATGATGACTTTTACCATGAAAAATTGCCCAACATTTATGAAGGAATTGTGCAATCAGCAAAGAATTGTTGTACCACCGATTCAGTGAAGAAATTTTTTCCCATAACAACATGGTTACCGAAATACGAATTGAATTTCCTTATATCGGATTTTGTTGCTGGTCTAACAGTGGGTCTTACCGCTATACCACAGGCAATTGTTTATGGCACTATAGCAGGATTAACGCCACAATATGGATTGTATTCGGCGTTTATGGGTTGCTTTGTTTACATATTTCTTGGCACTTGCAAAGATATAACAATTGGTCCCACCGCTATTATGTCAATTATGGTACAAGCAAATGCATATAATGCTGATTTTGCTATATTATCATGCTTTCTCGTCGGTTGTGTTATTCTTTTAATGGGTATTTTGAATTTGGGCGTACTTGTACAATTCATATCCATACCCGTAACAACTGGATTTACTATGGCCGCGGCAATAACGATTGGTAGCGGTCAAATTAACAACTTGTTTGGCATTTCAAGTAAGTTTTGAAACAAAACGTTGCGTAGGAAAATGGGAAACAGTAAAATCTGAGTGTTACAATTGAACAGGTCCCACGAATGAATTCCTAGGCTCCTGGATCTATTTTTTTAAGCATATCAATAAAACGCAACTTAATGATGCTCTTCTGGGCATAATAACACTGGTTGTGCTGCTCGTCATGCGCGTAAGCATATTTCGAAATATTGTCATTATCTAATTTGAAATGTTATTATGTTTCGTCCATTTGCAGAAAATCAAGGACCTTCCTTGCGCTTACAAAACCTTAACCAAGTATATATCACTATCTCGTAATGCCTTGGCAGTATTTGTCGGCATTATACTTTGTTATTTTCTCAGTCAAAATGATCGTTTGGCGTTTCGTGTTAGTGGTAACATCGTACCAGGTGTGCCACCCTTTAAAGTACCACCATTTCACACTGAAATCAATGGCACATATATTGGATTCGAAGATATGATAGAGGATTTGGGAGCTTCATTGATATCCATTCCGCTTATTGCCGTGCTCGAGACTGTTGCTGTTGCAAAATCATTTGGTGAGTACATAAGTATCTAACAAATATATATACATATGTTTGTGCAAAGAATTATAAAGCAATATTTCCAAAACAGCAATGGGAAGAATTGTCGATGCCTCACAGGAGATGATTGCACTTGGTATTGCTAACATTTTGAGCAGTTTTTTCTGTTCAATACCCGTATCAGGCTCATTTACACGCACAGCTATAAATAATGCGAGTGGAGTTAAAACACCACTTGGTGGCGCAATTACCGGATTATTAGTTCTGATGACGTTGGCCTTCCTTACAACAACATTTTACTATATACCAAAAGCAACCCTTGCAGCAATCATTATAGCAGCTATGGTGTTCATGGTGGAATATGATAGGATTGCAGAAATTTGGCGTTCGAAAAGTATAATTATATTTATTCGAATAGTTTGTCAATCAGACTATACAAAATATGTGTACAATTTATCATTGCAGAATCAGACATGATACCGTTCTTGGTAACAGTGCTTTGTTGCCTCTTTTGGACACTCGAATATGGCATGGTCTGTGGTATTGTCGTAAATATATTGTTTATATTGTACAAAAGTGCAAGACCTACAATAGTTATTACCAAAGAAAAGGTTTGTTTTAAGAAAAAAATTTAAATATTTTAAATTTCAACTGATTCGTTTTTTTTTTTTTTTTTTTTTTTGTTTTTTTTTTAGCTCCAGAAAGGCGTTGAAGTTGCAATTGTGGACATACAAGAAAACTTAACCTACTCATCGGCTGAATACCTTAAGTCGAAAGTAGTGAAATATGCTACCAAATATGAAATCAAAAAAGTTGTAATACGAGGTGAAGAAATTCATACTATAGATTCAACAGTAGCGCTGGTAAACTTATTTAAATTATATCGTAAAAATAAAATAAAGGCATTTTTAAATTTTTATAGAATATTCTTGGCTTAAAACAAGACCTGCTTGGTCAGAATTGTGAGCTTATATGCTGGAATTGGCAAATATCTTCAGCTGGCGTTATTTGTCGTTTACATCACGAAGCACGACGAATGTTTAAATTCAGCGAAACCATTCAGGAAATTATACCAATGGATATGCAAGAGAGTACTATGACGATGCAAACAGATTGTGAAGCAGTTACGATTCCATTGTAAAAAAAAATGCATATACAAGTTTTAATATAAATTTAGTTTTATAAATGAAATGATAATTATTCATAAAAATATACTGCAATTATTATCCAATTTTTGTGTATGAATGAACTGAAATATATGAGTGTAAAATATAAAACCATTTGATGTTTATAATTATTGACCAATGAATGATTCGAAGTTTTATTACTTTTGTACATTCATTTATGTGCCAAAATTATATTTGTGTCTACTTATATGAAGACGAGATATATGAAATGTGTAATAAAATAAATTTACCTAGCACATCTGACAAAATAACTTCATATTTATTTTCCTGCTATTTGTATAAAATTGCAAATCAAAATTGACATCTTACTTTTTTATATTAGCATTGTGCTTTGTGTATTTGACACATATTTTTTGCGCTATGATACACAAAATAAGAGCGCCAGTTCTACATGCCTATTTTTTGGTATACATACACACAATCTATCGTAGACCCTCATAAATTCAATAATTTTCATAAGTATAAATCTTACCTCAACAACGTTAAATTCGTCTTCTTTCGCCTCAGCGCCCAGAAGGATTTGTTTAATAATAAGCCTCTGCCCACGGGGAAAATCTTCATCATTCGAGAGTACATCCCAGGTCACCGTGCTATCTTGACCAGAAAGTGTAACACCTAGAAAAGAAACATCATTTAGAACATGTTACTTCATTCTTTCAATTCATGGCCGCATTAAATCCAAACAAATTTATTACTATGGATAATTTAACTACTACCGGCAACCAGAGCTATATACGCAGACGGCGCCATTTTCACGCTCGTGATTTAAGATTTCATTTTGCAAATATAATCAAAATACCTAAAACATTCTATTCAACCGAAATGTTCTTTTAATATTTACCATAAAACGATTCGTCGGACATTGTGATTATTTAGATAACGTCTGATATTTTAGTTGAGAAATACACGCTGAAAATTTGCACAGAAAAACCGAACGGCAGTTGTGTAAATCGAGCGAACGAGCGAGTAAAAAGGAAGTGTGCAGCCGGCAAGGTGGGGAAAAGAAAATGCGAAAAATGCCATCAATCGTGTTTGCTTGTATTCGGTTTTCGCAAATTAAAAGCCAAGGGAAAATGTCAAAACATAAATCAACCGGTCCTTATCGTTGCCACCAAAAAATATTTTCTCTCAAACTAACAATGAATAATTTCATAGGAACACAAGAAGTCCTTATTTAGCATGATTACTACATATGGGCTCAAAATTCTCTAACCACTGTGGTGCACTCAAAGTCAAGAATTTGACTATGGCACAAAAATATCAAGAGCTTATCGTATCACATATCATATAAATTGAAACTTGAATAAAGCATAACGGACAAAATTAATTAACCGCTAGGACGCTTGCCCCTAGCCACATACCAAGAAGGCACAAATGCATTCTGCATACATAAGCTACGTTCTACTCCCTAGTTTAGGCACAAATAGAACAGGGAGGAGCTACTACCGCTCCTACTTTATGTGGGCGATCACTCCCCCCAGTGGCCTGCTCTACTTTGGGACCTGTATAAAGGCAGACGAGTGCATTAAAATAATAATTATGAGCTCTAACTTTATTCAGTTGTGAGCGGCTCCAGCATCCGATGAGTAAACCTCAACTAAAATCTTTGGTAATATACGCTCTTTGATTATATTCATTTGCCACGATTTGATAAATATTTCCGCACCAAAAATATATGGCAATTTTTACTGTTGGCAACATTAGATTAACCCGATTTTTACGCCATATTTATTAAAATTTACTTTGTGTCTACTTTCGAATTTGCTGTCACATTTTCCTTTCATCCTGCACTTGAAAAGTTTTGATTTTCATTTATATTTGCCGCTTTCTTTGAATAAACCTTCGTGTGTGGTGGTTGACAGTACTTCAATTGGCACGTGTAGTTTAAAAAAAAATTTGTTTAATTTTTAATTAATTAATACTCAAAATGGAACGAGAAGAATTCTACGGTAAGTAAATTGATTTCCATACACTTTTATATAGAAATAATTTTGGTAAAAATTTAATTGGACAGCATTGAATAATCTCTTAAAATTTCAGGAGTGACGCTTAGCGAAAAGGAACCCCTAGCACAATTTGAAATGGAAGAGCCAACAACAACTGCTGAAGATCAGAAGTTGGTAATTAAACAAATTTGTTTGGGAGCCGAAGCTAAACAGGGAGAGTTTAATGTAGTACAGGTGAGTACATGTTTAATGAAAATAACTGCGATAAGCAAATAAAAAACGTGTCGGTTAAAATTCTTTTTTCATATTTTTTGGTTAATTGTACGCACACATAGGTATCAGTGTTTTTCTTAAACTAAGGTACATATATAGATGTGTGTGCGTAACCATAAATATCGTCATTTTTAAGAAAGCTGATTATTATATTATTTAGTAAAAAGCATATGCCTTTTAAAAATTAAATATTTTTCAGGTCGAAACAAGAATTAATCAAAAAGAAACGCTGAAAATACCAATAGCAGTACTTAAAGCCGGAGAGACCCGCGCCCTACGTCCTAACATTGAATTCCTCAATACTTCAGTAACATTCAAATTGATTCAGGGCACGGGTCCCGTTTATATGTATGGTCAAAATTTATATGGCCAAAATATGTACGGACAAAACTCAGTTGACGAATACGGTGAAGCCCCTTGGTCCGAAAATGAAGAAATCGACGATGAAGATGATGATGAGTTTGATGAAGAAGCGTCTCCACCACCACAAACAAATGGCAAGAATAAAAGGAAATAATCAAGATATTACAGTAAGAAGTCGATTTAAAAAGTTAATGGTTATTATAACCGAAACTGTTAAGTTTATTACATAAGTTTAAATAAAGTGATGAATGTAATAAAAAAAAAATTTTGTACATCTATAATAAGATTATTGACTGTATCTGAAAGTATTGGTACATGAAAAGGAATAAATATCATTAATGAAAAAAAAAACTAGAAGGAAATTAAGATACAAATTAACGAAGAAACAGGAACAGTATAACATACCACAACTTTCATACTAGAAAAAATAATTGCAATTATTCTGTACAATATCATTTATTTCTTTTGTAGTAATAAAGAAATTTTTTAATAAGATAATCTTCCAAAACGAAAACTATTTAGTTGTTTTAATTTAAATGTTGCTATTAATTACAAAAATTATTTGCGCTTTTGGATTGCTCCAACTTCTTAACTAATATATTTCTTACAGTATGCCTCGAGGTGTTTGATTTGTTAACAAAGCTAACGTAATGACTGAAGATGAATCGTACCCTTTACTTGATGATGCACAACATTGTCATTTTGTACAGATGTTGTTAAATTTTCTTTCCGCAGAGAATTGGAAATCAACACGTACAACTACCGTGTTGCATCAAAAATAACTTCACAGAGTTTAATTACTTTCCAGCAAAGTTAAAGATACGGCTCTTTTTTAATACAGGGAAAATTATGTGCGTATCAATTAATCGCTTGTTCTCCTTGTAACGATTTGCCCGCAATTTCATTTACATGTATCTTATATTCAACAAATCACTCTTTTTCACCCTCCGAAAGGTTACATGCGCGTAACAGATATTTTTTGGCGCGGCACTCTGCAAATATCAAAATGAATTTGCATTGTTATTGACATCTTGTAAGTATAAGTTATGTTTGTATGTACATTTATATGTTAATTGCTTTCACGTGCAATCATCGATGCACGCGCAAGCGCACACACTCACCTTATGTGTATAACACGACGACGATCGCTCGGATGTATTAAGTCAAGTTTATGACTCCATTCCATTTGCTTAATTTCGTGACGCAGTTTTTTGCGATCAAAATATGAAATAGCGCAACTAATGGGTATCCAGAATATTGAAGTTATGACAACAACGGTCACTGAAAATTGAAAATGATGTTAAATCAAATATTACGGCTTTTTTTAAATACGTAATTTGGCAAATGGAATTTTAGGCATACTTACTGACAATATTGTCCTTTAAAAATCGTAAAACACGATTGATATTTATTTCTTCGATAATGTCCCAGAAACGTTCCACTACATCCTGGATCGTTTTCTCACAAACGCCCTAAAAATATATAAATATACCAAGTTGATTTTATGCATACAGCATCGATGTAAAATAGCTCTATATGCATGCCAGTATAAATAAACTTCTCTTTAGTTTTTACATGTGAAGCTTCTGAGAACATATTACCATTCACTAGTAAGAAAAGAAATATGTTGTGGTATTCATCTTCATACATTCCTACATACAAATTAGTAAAATTTGGTTATAAGCATAGATCGTGCATAGGTATGTTCGCTGCCCAAATATATTATTCTGGGGCTATTCTTATAAGACTAACTTTACTCACGTACAAATTCATAGCTAGTTCAATATTATAATAACATTAACATTTTATATTATATTGGGGGGCCAGAGGTCTTTTTGTTATTCTTTCAATAAATATAGGAAGCGACAACGTGTGGCCTGGTCTTGTCTTCTTTTCGGATAAGCATACAATTTATCTCAACTTGGAATGCAGAAATATCCATACATACATCCAAAAATATAATAGACAAAATTTACCTTATTACAGAACCCTTGTATACATGGCGTTCCATCAGGTAGCATATCAGGGGGTTCTACTGGAAAACATGTTTCGTTTATGCTCATGCGGCAACAACTGGAAATATATTACAAATTTATTACAACTTTGAGTATATAAATAGGTATTTTCTTCTTTTTCATAACATTACCGCTTGCACGCATCCTGTATAATGTCGCACATACAGCTTTGTAAACCCTGTGTCTCACAGTATGGTATACATTTGCCATTTCGGCATTGGCCTCGCTCTTGGCATATTGTACCGTCCGCCATGGGCGGCGATTTGGGACACTCGGCATGTGTACCCGAACAGCGTGCTTCCTGCTCACATGTGGCATACTGGGCATCGCGACAGTTCATACCTGCCGGCATAAATTGGCAGTTTTGGCAGCAAGGTGAATTTTTATCGCTACACATAGCGCCTTGATTACGACGCAATTTACAATTCTTATCACAGCAAGCGTCATTGTCTTCGGTACCGAGAAGACCAGCATCGCATTGCTCGTCACCTTCGACGCGCAAATTCCCACAGAATGATTCCTCTGGCTCGGAGAAACATCGTCCCGATTTAGCTTGCAGAACTTTGCGTATTGAGCGCAGGGAACACGGTGAGAATTTCTAAATAAGTTTAAATATGTATGTAGCATTCATGAATGTGGAATACATAAAATTTTAGATATTCAAAAATTTTACCTTATTATTTACATCGTAACCGCTGACAGAGTAAGTATACATAAGAAAGCTTCCACCTTGCGAGGCACTTGGCGAGCACTCAGGTATATCTGGATCATGTTCAGACCCCCAATTGTGGCCAAATTCGTGGGCAGTTACTAAGTCTGCTTCGCGTGTAATAACGCGTTGCCCATAATGATTTCGAGAGCTGCTTAAGCCCGAATTCAAATACAAGGTATAACCATTTTTGAAATACTCTATTGAATGAAATTGATGAAAAACATTAACGAAACTAAATTCAATAAAGCACACACAAAGGTAAAAAATAATAGCAATAAATAAATAATATAAATGAAGTAGAAAAATAAAATAAAAAAAGAGACAAAGTTGTTGAGGAAATGCAAAAACTATGGGTCGAAACAAATTGTACATGTAAAAAATGATTTAAAACCAAATTAACTGAAACTAAATTTTAAACTTGGTTTATATCAATAACCTGGTGTGCAAATTCCACCAACGGAATTACGTCGCGGCGAACCCACATATGCTAAGCCTAAAATACCGCCTTCAAATTTAAGATCAGTGAAAAGATGTGCTAAGCAAAAATCTTTATGACTATATTCCCTTGAAAATACCTAAGCCATATCAATATATTGAAATAATATAATGAGATGAGAAAAAGAGTAGAAAAATACAATTCATGTACAATATGTCTTTTGCATCTTTTATGATCCAGTATAAATAAGATTTTATTTTTACTAAGAAGCACTTACCTCCAGAAGATTGCGAACATCCCACTTTTCGCGAATCATATTATAATGGGCTTCCCCACCGCGCAACCTTGTTGGTTCAGAGTGAACTACGATTTTCTTTATCACGAATCCCATGCCTTTAAAGCCTTCTTGATCCTAGGTTAATATATTATTAATATAATATTATATACACTTGACGAGATGGTATTTTCACGCTTACAGTTCGGTCCTGCCATACGGTATCGTTATATATTTTGTGCACTCGATCAATCAAACTTATCTATGATTAAAATGAAAAAAATATTAAAATTGACGTATTAATATACGGTTTTCTTTACTGATTTTATACCAAGTAATTAATGGTTGTCTTTGTATTTCCACCTCCCATTTCCTGAAAGAAGCGGTAATCGGCAACAAGCAAAAGCGGGCAACGAGTTTTTGTCGGTGTATATTCGTACTGGTCTGCTTGCCGTTTTTTACGTGTATGAGTAATATTCCCATCATGAAAACTTGATAAAGTGTTATTTTTTGTTTTATAAAAATTAGCATCCATCTCTTCATCGTATTCATCTTCCGTTTCCAGTTCTGTTAATAAATATAGTTAGAACTTTTTCATTTTTGAAACTTGTATTTCATACCTAAGCCCTCCTTAACGTAACCACACGACATTGGGGCACCACCAACGCCATCCCCTTCCTTATTAAAATTTAATTTCATATCAGAAGTTCTATAAGACACCATAGCTTTATCCGAAGAACTAGGCAAATGTCTCCATGACGGCTTTAACAGGAAATAGTAGTTTTTATGTTGAATAATACACTTTAAATATCGATCTGCGCCTTACCTCAATGTGATATGTTTCGTCCGGTAAGTGTATGGACATAGTCATTAAACCGTCATCAATGTGCGCACGAACAGATGATTCGAGCTCTCCAAAAACTCGTCCAGTATAAAAGCTATCATGATCTGTTTAAATTATATTAGAATAGAGTTAGACTGTAACTGAAAAAACTACCGTACACGTATAGTTACCTAAATGTACCACTGTCTCGTTGCCATCGCCATCTACAGTATACGCCTTAAATTTACTGTGTAAAACCTCCCGATGTGGGTGCAATATTAAACGAAAATTTTTACCTAACGTCTTGAATTCGACCTCTTTAATCACGTTATAGGGGTGTGAGCTCTGTTTAATTCCGCGCTTAATGATTTTATGTCTACAATCTTCGCTACGGAGGATTTCATAGTGGCGCAGAGTTCTATGAAGCGTAGCTATGGATTGATTTTATTATTAATGACAAATTTAGTCTTCACATATGTTACTTACATGCATTTTCGAGTAAAATTATAAAGAAAACCACTAATAAAGCACAATTTCCATGAAATCCTCTAAAAATTGTTGTCATTTTCACTAATTTTCGCACAGTATTGATTTTTTGTCAAACACTTCCGCTGCCACCTTTATCTAAATGTGTACACAACATCTTCATATAAAAACCTAAGAGTGGCAACGCTATATCTTATTAGTTACTTTAGCGCATGTTACTATTGCCTGCGTTGTTACATATGACAAACTATTTTTCAAACAAATGATTGTAAACAAAACGGGAAAAGTTGGAAAGCGGTAATAAGAGCAGGGGGTGCATGTAAACAAAGCTCCGGTGCAAACGTCAAAGCAAAACAATAACAGCTGTATTAGCAACAGAAAGAATAGAATTGTAAAGAATAGCGATACAGTGTATAAATTACTCGAATAGTCTTAGGATATCTCCAATAAAATTTTAGAAAATTAATTAACTATTTTAAACTTACCATTTCGTAAAATCTTTTTCCTTTTATGCATTTAATAAATTGATCTTTAGTAGCGTCTAATTGTTAAACTCATGTATAGCCGTTTTAATAGGGTTTGAAAGCTAATAATGCGCTTTGGTAAAGGCACATCCACTGTACTTAGAGAGCTGGTAAAATAAGAGGAACGTTGTTCTCTTTTAATATTATTCTCGACGTCTTTCTTTAACATTCTACCTTGGTACTAACATTCGCAATCAATTTTTGGCCAAAAATTAATAAAAAGTGCTATATAGAATTAAGCGTATGCTTATCAAATAAATATATAATCAATAACACCAACGGTGGTGTTAAAATCAAATTAGAATCGCATACGAGCTGGTAAAGCGAAAAAATTCGGTAACAATTTGTTAAGGGGAAATAGGCCTTGTACTCTAAATTTAAAGATAAGCATCAGGATTGACAAATGGTAAGTACATACATATGTACGTAAACACATATTATGTGAAATTTTTCATACCTTTATAGGATTGTTGAGTTTAAATTAACAAGTGCTCTTAGTCATTTATTAGTCATTAAAGTTTAAGAATTTTATGTTATCAATGTAGTACGAAATAACTAACAAATATCACACGCAGATGAGTTACGATGGCTTACTATCTCTGTCGCAGTTGACAGATGAGAAGGTGAAACTTATTCAAGGGAGTACAACTCCACCATCGGCAAAGACGAGTAGAACAAACGTGTCGACTGCGGCGGCCGTTGGTACGAACAACATCGCAGTAATCCCGTCAGTCGCGTCCGCACTTGTCGATGTTACAGTCGAAGAAGAAGAGCAAGCAGCAACAATACAAACCATTCAGTTGCCTTTAGGTAATAGCGAGAACAACAATGCTGATTTAGATGGAATTGCGAGTACATCGACCGCAATAGCCACAACAACAAAAGGGCATTTAAATACAACAACGGATACATTAAATGCGGATATATCAACACCGCAACGGAAGATTTCAGCGTCATCACGATTTATGAACGCATTCCAGCAATTTTATTCGAGCGCAACTACAATAAACACTGAGGGAGACGACGCAGATATCGGTACGAATTCAACAAACATCATGCCTGCAGTTAACCGAACTCCTCATAAGGGAATGGAATCAAAACTTCTATCTATGTGGCATAATGTGAAATATGGCTGGAGTGGAAAAATTAAACCTAATTTTTCGAAAGAACAGCCTGTTTGGCTATTAGGACGTTGTTATCATCGTAAGTACACTCCACCATCCTCTATGGAGAGCTCAACTGAATTAAGCACAAATGCTGGCGGACTTATTGCTACTTCTCTAAGCGGCAGTGCTTATGAAACTGCGGAACAATATCTACCTGTTGATGGCGCCACAAATACTAGTAACATATATCCGCCACTTAATCCGCATCAAATAGATGAAATTGTGGTCCCACAAGAATTAGGCATGGACGCAGCTGAAAATCAAGTAGCAGAGCATCCCTGGGAAGAGGGCATCGAAGGTTTTCGTCGTGATTTTTATAGTCGAATATGGATGACCTACCGTCGGGAATTCCCAACAATGAATGGTTCAAACTATACTTCCGATTGTGGTTGGGGTTGCATGTTACGTAGCGGCCAAATGTTATTGGCACAAGGGCTTGTCTGCCATTTCCTAGGTAGAAGTGAGTAACAAAACCAGATAACATATATGTATGTATTTTTATATATGTACATACATATGCAAGTATTTGTGATGGGATTTACTTCAAAACAAAAAAAAAAAATATATGCTTATTACAGGTTGGCGTTATGACGCAGACACGCAACTGCATTCTACTTTTGAAGACAATATGCATAAAAAAATCATTAAATGGTTTGGTGATAGCTCCTCGAAGAGCAGTCCGTTCTCCATACATGCGCTGGTTAGTTTAGGTGAAGAAATGGGTAAAAAACCAGGAGATTGGTATGGTCCAGCATCGGTTTCGTATCTTTTAAAGTGAGTATTGAATAAAACTAAATAAAGTTATAATTTTTTTTATTTTCTATAATCATCTTCAGACAAGCGCTAAAAACGGCGTCCCAAGAAAATGCAGACTTCGATAATATAGCATTTTATGTGGCAAAAGATTGTACAAGTGAGTAATTATGTAACAAATACCACAATTTAAAAAAAATATGTATATTTTAAGGTTTGTTTGATATCATTAAAACGGTATCTTAAGTAATTCATCAAGTTAAAAGATCTTAACTTGAAGTGTTATTCATATTTGACTTGTACATATACATTACAAAAATATTCATATCACTTTAAAATATACTCGACGATGATAATTAACAACTGATAATGAATTACATTGAAATCTATACGAGTATCTATAATTGTTGTATTCTTATCGCTTGTAGTTTATATGCAAGACGTTGAAAAGGAGTGCCGCATACCAGAACCCTCCCCAAAGAAACATGTACCCTGGCAAACAAATCGTCGCATTGAAGCGAAAATGCCCTTAAAACAACAATGGAAATCCCTTATTTTGCTAATACCGCTACGCTTGGGCACGGATAAATTAAATCCCGTCTATGCACACTGCTTGAAATTGCTTTTAAGTACAGAGTATTGCATTGGCATAATCGGCGGTCGACCAAAACATTCATTATATTTTGTCGGATTTCAAGGTAAATTTCATAATAAATTGATTCGCATTTCGAACGCTATTTTATTATTTGTAAATATTTTAGAGGATAAACTAATACATTTGGATCCGCACTACTGCCAAGAAATGGTCGACGTTAATCAAGACAGTTTCTCATTGCAATCATTTCATTGTAAATCGCCACGTAAACTGAAAACGTCGAAAATGGATCCAAGCTGTTGCATCGGCTTTTATTGCCAAACAAAGACCGACTTTGATAATTTTATGGAAAGTGTGCAATTAGTAAGTATTTTGGTAAAAATAATTATCCGACTGGAATATTAGTCATGCCCAATTTTTTTAGTATCTCCATCCGATGCGATGTGCTTCTGGTACAATGGATAAGTTTTCAACAACATCATGTTCTGGCGGTCAAAATGAAGGTGCTCCATATGTTGAAATGAACTATCCGCTTTTCACATTTTCACGCGGTCAATGCCCCGAAGAAGAATGGGATTCAATCAATGATTCCTTTTACAAACCAATGCAGCAACAAATTACTCAAATGAAACACGAGCTCGATTTACAAAACTATAGTGTTGCAAATGTGAACACACAGGAGGATGAAGAGGAAGAAACTGAAGAATTTGTGCTGCTTTAAAAATATATAAATCCAATATATATGTATATATATATATATTTGGTGAAGTATTGAAAAATCATATATTCATTTTATTTTCATTTATTTTCTTAAATCATTAATATTATAAAATGATAAAAATGTATTATTTTATTTTTTAAACATTTCCTAACCCATATGTATATTATATTTATACATGTAATTTATTAGTCAAGCGCCTGCATTATGTAATTGTACAAAAAAATTGTTAACTCTCACTAATTATTCAAAAATAATTACACACATATAAATGGATTTTTTTTATCCATGATCGAACTCAACGTATCACGTTTCCCTCACTTACATCAGCCAGATCCATCCCGTGTATCGTCAAAGTATCTCAATATTTAAGACTAACTTAATGTTTTTATTTTAATTTTATGTAATACTTCATTTGAGGATATTTAATTTTAATAGTTACATTGTGACCTGCGTGCACGATTCAATTTGAGACAAATTTGATTTTTTTTTTTAGATATCAGACCCTTCGCAATGATTGACACAAACTGTGAAGGAAATAATTAACCAAGAAGTTTGCCAAATAATGAAATCTGCGATCAATAAAAGTATAAAATTTATATTTCTGGAAAAATTATTACGCAGTTGTGATTCAAATATTTTTTTATTGTATTGATTAGTTTAATAGTTTGGGTGTATACTAAAAATAATTCCATTATTCATGTTTCGATGAATCTGATAACAGTAAAGGAACCATTAAATTATGTTGTGCATTATAACTATGAAATTACTTTATAGTAACATTAATAAAAAAAAATTGGTATTCATTCATAAAATCATCAGTTTTATGTTAATAATTTGGATGTTAGACTGTCACTATAAGTTATTAAATTTAGAACGAGTTTAAACTTCACTTGCATTCTCTCAAATATTAAAATAAAAAATTTACATTGAAGTGTTGTATTTGTATATTATTTAAGAACAATTTATAAAACATACCGCTATATTATTTTATAGATTAAAAGTACTGACTTACACTTAATAATGTAAATATGGAATTAGCAATAAATAAATAAATAATCCTAATTGCTACGATTTTCTGCGTTTCTTACTTCATATTTTTAACTCTAAACATATGTACATATGTGCCTTTTTGAGATTCACTCAATGCTATAATACTATTTTTAAAAACAGAAATTGTAAGGTAATTCAAATAGAAGTACATTCTAAATTAATATAAGTGAAATCAGTTGATTCAGAACTACTTCCATTACAATTTTACATTAGTATAGTTTTTTTTGTGGTGAGTATGGAAGTTTATTATTATAACGGACTTCAAAATAATATTATACATAGCTGGCTGATGGTAAATCATACTAAGCCATTTCACTAAGAAGTGTAGTTCAACTATACTTGTACATTTAAATCTGCGTTTGAGTCTATACATTCGTTCTGACCTGAAGATTTATAAATAAAAGTTTCATCTCGAAACTTTTTAGTTGCAAGGTATTTGTGAAGGTATTTTTAACTTGGACAAAGCGCTGTTTCAGCACTTTACATACTGCAATAACGAATAACATTACTTGCATTCGTTAAATAACGGTGGAATGTATACATAACATTTTTGAAGTTGACATACATACAAGCTTTAATATTTTAACGTACTCATCACGTTTTTTAACGCGTTGCACTGCACACAATGGTATGTATATATGTATATGCGTACATAGTACATATGTGTCAGAATTTTATTAATATCGACGTACGAAAAACTCGTTTTCTCCAGAATTTGTTTTAAAATTAACGAAGTTCTAAAAATGGATTTTCATTGCGCTGATAATATCTTGTAGAGGATATTTAAATTTCAATAAAACTTTGAACGTATGTATATATGTACATATAGTTAAGCGCTTGTTGATATTACTTTAAGTTTAATTTGGGAGAAAGCTTAAATATACCACATTCTTTTCTTTAGTATTTATATTGCGTCTTAAGTAGTAAGAAGTAACTTGAACTTAATCGGAATATTTTTTTAACAAATTTTTGATTTATGATTTTTTCAAGAAATATAGACTATTATTATTAGAGAGCTGGGCTAACTATTATTAATAAACACAAAAATTTTACAATTTAAACAAGTGTTTTACTTGCTTTTTCTTTTCGTCTACGTATTAATAGCTTAGAAAGATTTTCCCGAGCAGTAATTGCCTTTTCAGGATTTAATTTCAATGCCTTTTGGTAGCTTTCTATAGCGTCATTCAATTTTTCCCATCGATGGTATAGAACACCCAAATTTGTATGAACCATAACATTTAACGGTTCAGATTTTAGAATATGTTTATAAAGTTCTTCTGCCTCAATGTAACGCTTCAGCTTTCCGAAAACGTTAGCACGTATAAACATAATACTGCTTTCATTTGGTAAATGACCAATAGCTTGGGTGGAAAGTCTTATAGCATCTTCATAGAGTCCCTGATTGTCCAACATTGTGAGTATATTCACCCATGCTTTGGGTTGTCTCGGATTCAATGAAACTGCCTCTTGCCATTGTTGCATTGCTTCAATGTGCATTTTTTGATCGAGATAGAGATTGCCTAAGTTGTAATGGCAAATTGCATATTTTTTGCGAAATTTTAATGCTTTTTTGTAACTTTGTAGAGCATTTTTATAATCTTTTCGTGCTGCTTGAACAATTCCTAAATTCATCCATGCGGTAGCAAAATCCGGCACGGCGTCCAAAGCTATTTTTATATACTTTTCGGCTTCTTCTAGTTGACCCATCTCACGATATAAATTGCCCAAATTCATTAGCGCTGATTCATACTGTGGATATAGCTTGATTGCTTTATGGTAATGTACGAGCGCTTTTTTGCGATCTAATCTATCCGTCGCCAGACGTGCTATATTATAATGGACCTGCAATTCATGTAGTGTATTTAAAATATATCCATTTGAATATAAATTATTATCATACCTTTGCGTTATTGGGGCAGACCTTCAATGCTGATGAGAACAATTTGTCTTCAGACAACCACTCGCCGGCGCGCTCACGCGTTCGAAGTAATAAGCAGATAAATAATAGCATAGATAACCATTTGAATATAGAAATCAGCCATGGTTTTGCGTTTGAGTTGTATACGTATGATAATGCCTGTGCTACTAGGAAGCAAAACCCAATCGATGGCACATAAAGCACACGTTCGGCAATAACAAAACCAACTTTAATAATACCCGAAGCTGGTATGAAAGGTATTACCATCAAACCGATACCGAATATAGGTGTAAAATTTTGTTTGCTGTTTATGAAAGCAACAATTGCTAGAGAATACATAGCAAGTATTGCTTGCAAGCGCAAATCCCATACGTTGTTAATTAATTCAATGCATCCCAGAGCCCAGTCAAAACTAAGCCATTGCGGACAAAGAAGAATCCACCAGTTAATGACGTATAAGTAATTTTGAGAAAGAATTCGTTTTAACGGATCATTATTAAATGCTATGGGATTATCCATTGGTTTGAATCGGGGACTTTGAAAGTCTTGCAGCCATAGCCGGAAGATTATCAACGTTATATTACAAAGTGCGAATATGATATTTCGAGGTGAGCATAAAAGTTTTAATTGCGTTCTCCAAGGGTGAAGGTAAACCTGTGAACGTGTATATTCAAGAAAAACACAGGCAACTGGTATGGTTATAGCAGTTTCTTTGAAGAATATTCCCACCGTTGTGATTAAGATTATTAATACATCGGTAAATGAACCAAAACTTTGTCTTTCATATGTAAGCAACAAAGCAACAAGAAAGAACAAACAAAATAATAGTTCAGCTCTACCAACTACCCCGCAAACTGCTTCGGTATGAACTGGATGTATAGCGAAAATTGCTGCCGCTACTGCAGCAATTTGATTATGATTAGTTGATTCAAAACGAAACTTTCGAAGTAAACGCCATACTAAGAGCGTATTTATACAATGCATTATTAAATTAATAACTTTCATATGTTTGGCGCGGAATCCAAGTTGCACGTATTCCCAGTGAAATAGCAATGTTGTAAACGGACGGTATGACTTGTGTGATTCAACGCTTAATAACGGTGTGCCCCAGAAATCATTTCTAAATAGTGCTGTCCAATTGGTGGATGTGGTTATTACATCCAGGTTCTTTACTATAGCAACTTGGTCATCAAAAACAAAGCTTCCGTTCAGTGCATGTGAATAACAGGCCAAACATAGCAGGATAAGTACAGCTTTGTAAAGAAGTTGCACAGTGAAGGTATCCTTAACATCATCATGTTCGTATTTTCCCATTGTAACTTCTCCATTAATTGTACTGCACTTTTTCATTGTCTAAGATATAACCGATATCCTTATATCTAAGTAATTATATGCTACATTTCTATACCATGATCAAATTTTATATTATTCATAATAATAATATAATTTGTTTATTTTCACTACTGGCTTAAAAATAAAAGTTAATTTAAGGTATGCTCTCACTGCTTATATCCCTCGGTACTGTTCGCTAAGTTTTTGTCACACAATAATTGGTACAAATTCTACCTGAATTACGTTCGTTTGGGCAAAACCTGGAAAACCAGCATGCAATAGCAAAATTTTGATATTATCCGAACTCCGAAAACAATCAGCTCTTATTGTTATTCTACGTTATATGTATAGAGCTTAATGGAATATTTTTAGATTCTATTTGATTAAATTTAAAAAATTTCACTCTTTGGGAGAGTGAGACATTTTTCATTCTGAATTTAATGGGAACCATGCATGCAATTTGATGGCATTTCGTAATTTGCCAAAAAAGCAAAAAATGTCAATACTACGAAAATGACATATGTACGTATTTATTTTTCATTGTTTTCCTATAAAACAGCAAAATATCTATTAAATTCATTTATTATTGAACATTCCAATTACTTGGAACTTGCGTAAAAGTCAAGAAAATGGTTGTAATTAAATCTGCAAATTGTCAATGCTTAAAAAAAATTAAAGATTACTTACGTTCTGCATTTCGTTGGTCCAGGTTTGCTTATGAAGGCAAATTAGTTTTATCTGCCAACGACTTAAAGCAACTTTATAGGGAGCTGGCAGCCCTTTTCTCAGAAAATTGTTTAAAAATGAAACAAACCTTTCGTAACCAGCTGATTACGTTTTGTTTATTTTCTCAGGACTAGAATTAGTGAAGATCTCATATTCTGAATTTTCACTTTTTAATAACAATTTAAAAATGTCTGAAGATATATTATTTGATTTTTTGCATGCTGAAATTGTGAATTACTGTTTGCATGATAATAACAAAGTAGGTCCAGCTATAGATCTCTGAAAATCTATTTAATTATAGTTTGTTTTCTTATAGGAGAATGATTTTTCCGCTTTGGAATATATTGGATTTAACACTGGATATCGCCTTATCGAACGTTTAACAAGAGATGCACCACGGTTTAAAGATGAACTTGAAACAATGAAGTTTATATGTACAGATTTTTGGACTCTAATTTACAAGAAACAAGTTGATAATTTACGTACCAATAATCATGGTATGTATGTGGTTCAAGACAAAGCATTCCGATTTCTTACACGCATATCGACAGGCGCAAAACAATTGGAACATGCTCCCAAGGTATGTACATATTTCATGTTTTTATTTTATTTTTAACGACATGTCATTTTTTGTATGTTTATTTTACAGTTTGTATTTTTTACGTGCGGCCTTGTGCGTGGGGCATTGACAAATTTAGGCATTAATAGTACTGTAACAGCCGAAGTTCAAACAATTCCAGCTTGTAAATTCCACATTGAAATAAATAGAAATTAAAACTTTTAATTTATTCAATATACATATTTAAATACATTTGTTTTTATTTAAAATAAAATAAGTTTAATAATTAACTAGTAAGCGCTCTCACATAAAGTGCTATTATATCGTCTTTTCCGATGCTTAACGTAGTTTTTAACTCCCAATGATGTGTATCAAGAAAATGCGGTTCTAGAGGTAATGGTTCAGTAAATATCCTAACACCATTTTTTGGTCCGATTATTAAGAGTATATTTCCTTTATACATTTCGATATAATTGTAAAATGCAGCGCGGTTGTTGAAGTAGCAAAACATCAGTGCGAAATTCCAACTTTTTAAATTACAACACTTTTGGAGATATTTGTCCAGACTGATTTCATCTTTATTGAAATCGTCAAAATAATTAAGTTCAATGAAACTTTTAACTGCATATTTACTCTCCCACCATGCTCGATCCACTTTAATACCACTAACTCGTGTACCTAGCAGTAAAACCTCACTATTTAATATATAAACATTTTTTTTTATATTCATACCCAAACATTCTTGTATTATCCTCTCAAATAATCCATTGCCACATCCAATACTAAGTATATGCTTTACTTTGTGTGTCTCGAGTAATGATCCGAACTTTTGTAACTCACTCTCAGTTGGCCAGATCCACATAAGACTACGTTTCTTTTCCAATTCGAATGAGTTACCTACTGCTAGCCACTTCCGCCAATCCTTTATAATACGTTCCTCTAAGCATATATTGTCCGACATGTTGGCATTCTTTGTCTTATGTAAAATTTTTCATATCCGAGGTATAGAAAATCACACAAGCTTTAAAAAAAAAAAGAAACATACTTACATACATACGTATTTTATATCTGCATAAGAGAAGTAAACAATAGAGCAAAGTTGGCAAAACCGTATAACCCTAGCCACTGTCAATGCTAAATTGCTTGCAGCATGTGTCTACGCACCTTCATGTCAAAGAATACATCAAACCGATGGCATTAGGCCAAATAATTTGTATATTTAGAGAATATCTAATCTAAAATTGAAACAAATATTTGGCGCAATATGTATTTTGATAATATTGAGGCTTACCCTTTTATTTCGAATGTAAATTGTCACTTTCACAATGTTTTTAGAAATGTGAATAAAAATTTTCGCTGCAGTAAATGTTTATGAATAAAAAAAAATCTGTTTAAAAAAAGAAAGCTTTTATAGAATTCGGTTCAAAGAAATATGTGTTATTTAATATATTACTATCGACACAAAGCATATTCTACTCTTGATATTCGTAAGTGTATTTAAAATTTTTACGCCAATGCATTTCACTGAAATTCGATGTACTGCATGTTACTCGCTTTTCAGAAGTTGAAGAAACACCAACACTTGATACAGCTTTCACATCGTTTTGTGCGTTTTTATTGTATACTTCTTCCTTTTCACTCTCACTTTCATTAGCACTTTCATCATCATAATCTGAAGTTAAAATCTTCCTGTATAATTTGATAGGATCATAATGCTTCTGTGTTTTTCTTTTGTTGAGTATTGTTGAAGCATTTTTACATTTTGGAATAGTCATTGGTTGAACATTTCCGATACATTTTATAACTGCACTGTTTTCCACTAACTTTGGCTCAATTAGAGTTTCTACTTCACCGCAAATGTTATCAGCGCTAATTGCATTGGGAAGAGTAGTGCTAATGGGGCTTATAACATCTACACAACTTTCGTAGGAACGCCCTGGATGAATAGTGCGTATATGCCGCTTCATATTATCCTTACGCATTATAGTCGCATCACATTCTCGACATCGGTACTTAACACCATCTAAAAAATAGAGAAAATCGATAATATAAAAATTTTGAAAAATATTATTTTCAATTAATTTACCTTCATGAAGTTTAACATGCCTCAACAAAACTGAGGAATCACTGAATTTACGGAAGCAAATACCGCAAATGAAACAATCAGTCTTCGAATGTTTTTTAAGATGTAAGGTTAGTGTATAATTACGTTGGAACCTTTTATCACAGTATCTACATGCATATCTTTTATCTATAGTAAAAAATATAAATTAATTCCTTTTTTTATCAAAGTACTGAGCATAAATACCAAAATGTTTGTGCATATGTTGTTTTAAAGTGGATTTCAAAGCATAGGTCTTATGACAAACTTCGCACTTATAAGGTAGATCACCACCGTCATGTAATTTTCGAAAATGGCCAGATAACGACTCTTTGTTTCGAAATTGTCTATCACATTCTGTGCATTGAAATGATTTTGAACTATGTGAGCGTTCATGTTTCTGCAGAACTATTCGATTCGTAAAAGCTTTTTTACAATGCTTGCAATAGTATGTGCGTTCGGCGTGAGTTTCCAAATGGTAATTGTAATGAGATTTTGTAGAAAATGCCTGTGGGTGATAAAATAATTAGTTATTATGTCTCGAAAGCAGAGTTACTAACCTTTTCGCATTGCTGGCATTTATATTTCTTTGAGTCGACTTTTCCGCAATTCAAATGATAGTACTGTTGCGTACGACTGCTAAATTTTCTACAACATAACGTGCAGTAATAATGCATACCGTGGTCTGAATCATTATCCATTCGTTGTATGTGCGATGGCATTGAGACGGCCTTTCTACTTTTCTTTTTTGTCACCATATAGTTATCTGATAAAAGATTCTGCGATTCTTCAAACACAATATTTATATTTTTTTTACTATCACTAATATTTTGCTCCTGGTTTAGACATTCCGTGCATTCATCATGAGCTAGTAGGCAACTGCGACATTTGCGGTGTCCACAACTATCAGTTACCAAACGATTGGCCTTACCAATAAGAAGGACTCCACATAGAGGACATGAAGGTCCACCATCAATAGCACTCATTTCAAGATATTAAAAAGGTGTTTTATTCTTATTCTAAACGTACTAATAGTTTTATTTTATATATGTACATACAATTAGAAGGTAAAATTAAAACCTCAAGAACAAAACAGATGCCCAAGTATTTTTTTTTGTTCTGATTTTGCAAAGAATATCGTACAAAAATATCCGATTACTCAAAAATAATAGTTGGTTAATTCCCGTACTTCTCTGGCAAAAAAAACGTCAAATTCAGAGCAACAGCAACTCTGTTACTCTGCTAGCTTGCGCAAATTGCTACCGAATTGTATTTGTTTGGACAATTATACAAATCATATTTAAACGAGTGAGCGCAATTTTAACATTTTTTTTGTAGGAGAAATTGCAAATTAGGGAACAAATCATCAAACAGAAACCAACAGAAAATTCTTGCGGCATTAGGATGATTTACAAATGGAGGGCCCTTCCTTCAAACTTGCCCTTTAATCTGACCCTTCCCACCTGCTCGATGGAACAAGTTTTAGTTTTACACTACTTTTCGTTGTGTACTAGATATTCATTAAATATGTTTTACTAAATCATTGATGAGGGCAATTCATTATTTTTCCAATAGACGGCGTTATTTATCTGTATCTCGCGTAAGTCCGATCAGGTTCCGCCAGCTGGAGTTTGAAAGATGACCTTTTGTTCTAAAAAAGGTTTTCTGACAGTTTTGTAATTGGTTGGTTTAGTATTATTTGAGCGCACGCCAAAGATGAACACTAGCAAGGAGAAAATACGCTATATTTTAGGTTTTTATTGGATAAGGGCGAAAACGCAAGCTGCTAAAAATATAAATAGCGTTTATGTGACAAATGCTGTTACAGTCAATCTTACGCAAATTTGGTTTCATATCGTTTAGAGCCATTTGAATATGGCTGGATACGAAAAGAATAAATTAAACCATTAAATTTTATGCAAAATAATGGATTTCTTTTTACTTCAACACTCGGCTACCTTGGCAAACAAACCTTTTTTTAAATCTTATGTAATTCCACTATTCATTTCAGTTATTTAATTTTAAAAAAATATAAATTTGTACCTTAGAAGGCTTAAGACCTTTTATCAAACTGCGTACGTTTAGTAAAAAACGCCGTTGATCATTGCAATCGATAACTTCCTCTGATCGGCCAATTATCAATTTTTGATGCAGACCTAATGTAATTAAAAAATGTAAAAAAAAGCTGTTCGAATAATTTTACCTGATAAGCAATCGCTTTCCTCTGATCATTTGATATCACTTCAATATTCATTCTTGAGAAGTTCTGTTGGCATTTTTATCTGTCCACATCCATTTATAAACAACGGAAGCTAATTAGAGCAAATACGCATAAAACTTAGTGTTAGAGGATTTCTTAAGTTGGGAATATTTAAAAAAGCTGTAAGAATGGCAAAAATTTTCTTTGGACAAATTATACATACGAAGTCCTTAAGTGATTTTGAAATCTTTACTAGCGGCTTTATTGCTGTTGACCATCGAGGCAAAGTAATATGATCAATAATGTTTACATACATACAGCCATAAATGTATATATCTTGTTCAACATTACTTGTAAATTTAAATACATTTTTTTATTATGATTTAGATCGTCGGTGTTGGAGATGAGAGCGATTATTCTTCTTGGCTATCAGAGCACACCGATTTTAAAGCTGCTGTTGCAGAAAGGCTCACTAAAGATCAGTTCTTAATGCCGGGCTTTGTCGATTGTCACATTCATGCACCACAGGTCGCTCAGATTGGGCTGGGGTTAGATATGACCTTAATAGATTGGCTCAATACCTATACATTCCCCTTGGAAGCGAAATACGATGATGAACAGTTCGCAGCGAAAGTATACACCAAAGTTGTGGTAAGTAAGTAAGCTAGAATTGACAAAAACCATTAACTTTTATTTTTTGCATTTAGCTCTTCACTAATTTATACTGATTTGAATCTTTTTACACGCCGTTAAATAAAATGACCAATATTTTTGATAAGATTAAATTGTTATCAATAAAAACTGTTTGTTATTTTATTCATTTACTAAATATGTACATTTAGGAAAACACAATAAAATCGGGCACCACGCTTGCATCTTATTATGGTACCAACAGCAAAGACAGCACTGTGATTCTTGCAAAGGAGGCATTGCGTCAGGGCCAGCGTGCATTGGTCGGAAAGGTGTGCTCGAATCAAAATAGTCCTAATTTTTATATGTATGCATCAAGACACATACATATTTACATATATATTTTTCTTAGACTAAAAACATTCAAATTTCGTTTTCATTACAGTGAATCGACAGAAAAGGCTATATCCGACACTGAGGAATTTGTTAAAGACATACAAAACTTAAAAACAGACTTAGTAAAGCCCACAATTACACCAAGATTCGCATTGAGCTGTAGCAAGGAATTAATGGACAAATTAGGTGAAATTGCCAGAAATAATGACTTACATATACAAGTGAGTATTGGACTATAAGCCGTATTGTAGTAATACAATATAATTAGTGGATAAAGTATTTTACCTAATTATTATTTTTCTTTTGAACGCATTTATCTTTATAATTTATGGCCCATACCTTTTATTTGATAATAAAAAATTAATAACCGATATTTTAAACAAAAATACTTATATCCATAAACAACTTCAGTTATTACTGTTATTAATTGTAAATTCATGCAAAACAAAATACTCTAAGTGATATGTCGAAAGGGTCTAAAGAAGGCGATAGGCAAATGGTAGTGGATTTAAAATTTATTGAACAGTTTGTTTCGCTATTTTATTTATTACTTTAAAATCTGTTATATTTGTATCAGCACATGCTTAAAATAATCTTATTACCTCTTTCAGAGCCACATTAGTGAAAATTTGTCTGAAATTGATTTTGTGAAAGCGCTCTATAAGTCGAGTTATGCTGAAGCATATGATAATTCTGGATTGTTGACATCGAAGGTAAATATAAGGAAACACATCTACAATATAAGATTAAGATCAGAAATACTCTACAAATTGACCTAGTATGTTGCTAAATTATCACGTTACTTTTACAAATTGCATTGATAATAGTAAAATTTAAGGTTTAATATGTTCCATCATGTTATAAACGTGTAATTAAAATATGTAATATTTAATAGACAATAATGGCTCATGCCGTACATTTGGATGATGAGGAAATAGCTCTATTTCAAAAACGCGGTACATCTGTTGCACATTGTCCGGCGTCAAATACGATGCTATCTTCTGGTTTTTGCGATGTGTTGCGAATTATAAAACAAGGCGTGAAAGTTGGATTAGGCACAGGTGAATTATGATTTTTAATAAATAATACCTAATTTATATTTTACGAAGCTACATTTATGTATAAACCTTATTTTTATGCAGATGTTTCTGGCGGTAATTCGATGTCAATACAGGATGCGATTTTACGAGCACTGGATGTATCTCATCATTTGGAGTTCGTGAAAAAGCAAGATATTAAAGGTTGTGGCCGTTCATCAATTCAAGATCAACATTATCGACCACTTAATTATAAAGAAGCCATATATTTGGCAACACTTGGTGGTGCTGAAGCTCTGGCTTTGAGTAATATCACGGGAAATTTTGTGGCGGGTAAAGATTTTGATGCATTGGTAATCGATACTACCAACTATCCATTGCACAATTTCTATATTGTTGATGATAATAAGCCACAGGACTTGCAGTTGTTGGAATTGATACAGAAATTCATTTATGTTGGGGATGATCGCAATATTTTACGTGTATATGTAGCTGGCAAGCAAATTAAATAGATACAAAAATGTAGATTATAACAAACAAATTCACTTAACTTTTTATTAAAATACTTTAAATAATATACCTTTTTAAAATGTGATGACACAGAGTTGTACAACTCCAAATTTTGTTTATTCAAATAAAACATGTATGAACATGTAAATATATTTTTTATTAAAAATCAAATGGATTAAAATAAATGTAATATTTAGAATTGAAACTGAGCGGCGACGTTAAATAAGTGGTCCTGAATAAAATTGTCAACTTACTAATTCTACATTAATTATACCTTTGTGTATATCCGCTCGTAATTCTATTTTACGGGTATTATTTTGGTGGATTGACTAAATTTACAGATGGCATCGTTATTTGCTATTTACCCAGAATTAAATACATATATTTAATTGCCAATCTCGCTCTCTCTCTATACAATTTATAACGCAGAGGTTCATTCCATACAAGTTATACACATACATACTTAAACTACGTCAAAGTTAATACAAATGAAAACGGATGAACACCGAATGGAGAAACGTCCGCCATTTTAGTTGCGTGTTGTCATCTCTCAACTGCTGTTCGTATAGGAAAAAATTATCGTTGGAAAATTACATTAAAATATATTATTTTTGCTAGAAATACAAAAAGGTGATAATTCGAATAGTTTTCCTAAGGTTAACTTAATATATGTTTGTTTTACTATGAAATATTGTATCACAATTAGGTTTTAAAAGTCGAAAAGCAAAGTACAAAGTGAAAACGAGAAAGAAAAAAAAACCAAGTACATATAAAAATTCCCAGGTCGATTGCTGCTGCTGCTGCTGTAATTGGCCGAGGTTCACTTTGTACATTTATTCGCTGCTGAGTGAACGGAACGCTTACGAACGACGAAGAGTGTATATATGTAAATATATGTATATGTATATGTATGGTACTTGCGTATATTTGATATTGCTAGTACCATTGTTTGTACAACTGTGTGTAAGGAGAGAGTGAGAGAGAAAGGGGAAACTGAGAAATTGTGTGTGTATCGGGTAACCGAGAATAAAAGAAAGAGCGGGGGAAAAATAAATAAATTCACTGAACAGAACGGTTTGTGTGGATAATGATTAACAATGTACACATGTATGTATGTTGTGTTTTTAAGCGCATAAAAATTATGTGCATGTGTGTAAGTCAAATGTGTCTGGCGGTTGAGGTTTTGGCCTTTTTTGTAACGCAGTTCCAATGTTTGGACGAAGCTGAAGCAATGCTAATGCTTAATTTTCAACCAAAGTTCCAAGTAAAATTTGATTCAATTGCAAAAAAGGGCTATCGGAGAAGATACAATGAAGCGAAGTTCAATCCTTTAGCTCTTTTGGTGTTGGATTGAGAATGTTTGAAAGAGCATTAATCTTTCTAATGATTACTTATTTGTTTTATTATTCTTTCCTGGTAATTGCAATTAGAGAAGAGATAATAAAAACAGTATGCAATATAGAGAGAATTATTGCTACGTGACTGATTTGTCTGGTGTTTTATTCTTGTAACAGCAGTTTTTCTATTTGTATTTATGGTTACAAAGGTTTAATGCTAGTTAATGTTATTGCTGTGTAGTTTATGATAAAATATGGCTCTATTTAGATATTTATGTACATTGTGAATGTAGGTGTGGATAAGCTCATATGTTATGTATAAAATATTTTGTTAGCAATGTTTTGACTACCGGCAAAATGAGGGGAATTATTCGTGTTTTCATAATATGCATATATAGGAGTGAATATGTACTCAACTTATCATTAAGAGATGAACTCCAAACTAGTTTCCCCTACATGCATATTAGTCATCGACCGAAAATGAGTTGACCTGGAAGCTTAAATGACAGTCAATCGTTTTTTTTTCTATTATATTTACCTATCTTATTGCTTCTTTGTAAAAAAACAAATGACGCAGTAAAAGTGCACCAACAACGTCAAGAGAGGAGACATGTGCTGTTTGCTCGCTTTATTATTTTACATGTTTTTTTTGTTCGATTCTTGGAAGACAGAAGAGGGGAAAATTCTGGGTAATGTTTATTGCTACAAAAGTCACTGACCAGAAAGAAGAGCAAAATAGTATTCTGTGTTAAACGAATATAGTTGCGAAGTTTCTACTACAAAATCATTAGGAAGCTACACCCTTCATGTACTATGTATGAATTGATATTTAAGCTTCATTTCCTATACTGTTTTCTAGGCAATCAGTTTTCTGGTTATTCAATTAAAACATTAATTTATGCTACAATTACATGTTTATGCTCTTAATCCGACAATTGGAAAACCTAACATCTCAATGTATGAATCTCAACTATTGATTGTATTTGAGCTATTATTGTCCGATGGGCAATTACGGCTTATGTTTTGTATAATGATAAAATAAACCTGCTCACCAGATTTTATAAAAATTAATAAAACAAAAAAAAAGTTTTACTGGCGACACATTTTTCATACTAATAACTTTTTTTTTTATAACATTTTAACAAATTTCTATGACGGAGATTTTATCTGTAAAAGATTGCTTTAATAAATTACTGAATTATGACATTTAAAAGTTCTGTCATCTCTAAAAACGAATTACCTCCTTTTAAATGTTAAATTTGAGACATTTAAAATTAAAGTATTCGACCATAAAATTAGTAGCGCAGTACTAAAGTTGTGCAACACTGTCTTTTAGTATGTTTTGGGAGTGTCTTTCTATTCATTCACTCTCCTCATTCAGCTATGTGAATGTATTGGTTAAAGGGGCAACGATGGTTTCGCCCGCGCGATTGTTTTGGTACATGCACAAAGAGCAAAATAAAAACAATTTGTCTTCTGACGTCGATGGTTACGGCGGCAATAACGATTGAAAAATTTGACGTTTCCTGTGTAGTTAATGTGGCTCTTATTTGCTAGTTTTGTGCAGTATTTACACATTTATTTGGAAAAAAGACTTTAAATTAAATTATCAATATATTTGTTAAAACAAAAACGACAAAATCTATGTGTAAGGTGAATATTAGTTTTAAATACATGTGAAAATTCGATGGCTAGAATGAACAGTGAAACGTGTGATGTGAGATGATACAAAACAGGCCAGACGACGCAGCTGCATAAAGTGGTACATAAAAACAAGAAGGGCGACGTCGACGCTTACAAATAGCTATATCAAAATGAGAAAATGGCAAAACGAAAATATAAACAGTAGAAATAAGAAAGATGATGATGATGATCGTATAAATGATAATGACCATAATGGGGCTGTGTTTGTCGTTGCGTTGTTACGGATGATGAATGCCAATCAGTTATGGAGCAGGAAATGTAAACGTGCTATAAAGTGTGTGTATGTATACACGCAAGTTCCAAGACCAAAATGTGAAGTAGTTTTAACGGTTTCTTTGGACGGGCAATCACTGATGCGGTTTTTACTTTGTTCAAAGCGTTTTATTTATGTTTCTTCTTCTATCTTACTTCGGTGTCAATGTACTTAAGAATGTTCGGTAAAAATAAACACTAAAAACTTGGGTCGTAAATTCCTAAAATTTAGTTATTAGTTATTCTAAATGAAAATTTGTCGAAAAAATAAGGAAATTCTCACGTATATATGCACGTGTGTATATACATATGTACTTGTGTATTTACTCATATGTATGTACAAATAATTTTTTTTTTATATTTCGCAAAGTTCTCGCATCTACCTGTGAAAGAAAACCAGTTTCTAAATACGAACGAAAGATTAAAATGAATAGCAGAATTTGTACTGTGGAAAATAAGAAGTTATACCTACCTGTCATGCTGGCATTCTCGTAGAGATCTAAGGTACCATCGTGAATGCTAATTGAAACTGTTCATGAATCGTATCTGCAACATGTGCAAGTTGTTAACCGAAAGAAAACATCAATACACGTTATGAAAATATTCTACAAATAAATGCCAAGCCGGCTTTAGTAAATACGTAAAGACCCCAAGATACCATGTCATAAATAAAGACAAATCCACGTGAGTGATGATTTATTAAATCTTGAACTTGCTGAGCAGTGAAATAGTCCAATATGTCGGTGTAATTATGCTCAAATTGTTTTCTCTCATAAATTATATTATAATTAAACTGCTATGGTACATAATGTGTGTAAAAATTATTATAACGATGATCGTTAAAAAAAAACTTGTATACATACATATGTAGTATACTTAAACCGGCAATCTAATAGCTGCGCAGACTAGTCAGCCAAGTGAAACATGAGTGGAACGTTGGCGTAACATATGCCAATCAATTAAAGTTGCTTTGTCTACGTTCATTACATTATGCTTAAAAGCAATTGTCAAAGTCTGTTTATTTACATATTCTATACAAATATTAATGAACAGCCTCCATTGTGATTTGAAATCCTGTGTATTAATCTCACGTCTAAAATAATATAAATATTAAGAAGATATTGCATTAAAATACAGAACCTAGAATGTGAAGTAATGCAATTGAGGTTAATATATAAATATTATTATAATGAAAACGAATTCGCAAACCTAATTAAACTTTTAAAAGTTTGCGCATTAAATTGAGAAAAGATAGATAAAAAAATTTGAGTAGGTGCATGGTGCATTACCAACTAATATCAACTGCTTATGATGCATTAATAAAAAAAAAATAGCCTTAAAGAGAATGCACATATTATTTAAATATTGCTACATGACATATATATGTCCGTATACAGTTACATATATGAACTGGTATCGAACTTACTTTTATAACATTATAAATATTTCTTTGTTTATGAAGCGTCTGAAATGGGAGTCATGGAAATACGATAACAAAATAAATTTTATGCAGAATACATATATATTATATATTATTTGTATGTATGCACATACGTATGTAGTCCAAAAGATTTAATGTTAAAATCTCTCCCTTATAGCGTCAAATCTTGAATTGATTCACAAGCATATATGTAAATGCAGAGGTCTAAGATATTCAAGTTCACGTTCCGAAGCGGCATTTTTTAGTCAAAACTTAAATTAGTAATAATTACAGAGGCTTTTAAAAATACATATTTTTTAAAAGGAATTTTAAACTTTTAATTTTCACTAAATACAAATGCATATAAATGTATTTATGTATTTGTAGATATACATATGTATGTGTGTTCAGTGTACTGTTGTTTGTTTGTTTTCAAGAGAGCTCATATGACTGTTTTTGAAATAATTTTGTTTTCATAAATTTCGCTTTACTTATTTTGTTTTCACTGTTTTGCTAATGTATACAAATACTTTGTGCGCCACCTCGTACCATTCTTTATATTTATTTTTATTTTGATATGCATACTAGCTATGCAGGTACATGCACTAATATACATATATGTACATACTTATTAAATTACAGTTATTGATATAAGTAATCAATTTTATAAATTGAAAATACTTAATTCGTTTCAGAAATAATTTTGAAATATTCTCGTCGACTACATATACATATTTTAAATAATATGTAATATATATATAATTGGCGCTTTGAAACCGTTGAAGCTGTTAGCCGAGCCGATCCGGCCGAGCTCCTCCTACAATTTTTGGTTTTGCGTGTTGATGTTTTTCCAACAAATTGCGGGATCTAAAGTTTATACTAAGCCGCCTCCGAATGGCTGTTGTGTTTTTAATGAGGAGCCTTTATTTCATGTCAGAAATACACTGCCAGGGGCGACCGAAATTAGAAAATTTAATTAATTTAATTTTTTATTTAAATTCATTTTTCTATAACTTTTTTTTTTTGGATTTGAACCCGATCCTTCCGAATGTCATGTATATGTATGAATTATTTTTTTTACGCCTGTGATAGATAGATAATTTGGAGAACATTATTGCAAATACCAGATTATCTATCAATATATGTATCTAGTTTCTTTCCACTTTTCCAATGAGAAGGACCTGACTACACTTGTTATTTTCAAAAGAGAAGAACGAATGAATGGCTCACAGTTGTTTACTTGGCTATAATCGCGTAAGCGGTTTCTACCTCAGTCGTCATCAAAAGGGTGGGTCTCTCATCCGAGGTATAATTAGATTTTTTATTGGAGTCTATTTTTTTTTTTCATGCGGCGGGTCATAAACCAATCGCAATTGGATTTACTTTATTACTTTAGCTCGCCGCCTACAAACTGATGTTTATTGGATACCAGGCAACTGATGTTTATTGGCCTAGATCGGAAGTCGTGAGCTGTTTGAACAATATGCAAAAGAATCGCTTCTGGCCACTTCCGGGTGAAGGACAGTCAAAAGAATTTTCTGATACTTTAATTTGTTGCAAGTTGTAATAAAACAAATTATTATGTGAAAATATGTAACATTTAGCATAGCTAGTGAAGTCATAATAATTGCATCGACTGTAGGCACGTATATATATATTTATGTACTATATGTATGTATATATGTATGAGTGTGTATGTTATGTAGATTTCTGTTCACCAGCTTGTATCATACTATAATAACAGGCTGCGGGGGTTGCTGGGGAACAAGGGTGTTGGTGTTGGTTTTATTATTGTTTGTTGTTTTTTTTTTTTTTGTGTTCTTCTTTCTTTTCTTATTTGTACGTCGAGTGAAGGTTTTCAAGTACGTGGAGATAGTACAGTGACTGGCGGGGCGGCTGATATCAGTTTGCCCACTCCGTTTAGTCATTCATACTCGTGTATCGCGAGCGTTGTCTATATTATTGTTGTTAATGTGTATGCGCTTACATGAATGCATTGGTATATATGTATATACATATGTAGATACATACGTGTATGTATGTATAAAGGAACTGCGCCTCAGGCGTACAATGCTGTTGGCGTTGTTTACGTTTCGTGTTGCTGTTATTGCAGTTGTTCTTGTAGTGGCTTTTAAACTTAATTTTTGTATTTTATTTTTATTTATTTTTTTTCAGTTCAAATTCAATGTTTATGTTCACGTTGTTTGTGTATTTTACCTTTCTGTGTGCATTATGCACAAACACAATATACATACACTATTTATGTACATACGTGTATGTATGTGTGTAATTGAGATTGCGCTCGTAACAACAGCCTATCGTGTTTATAGTGCGAATAGTTTTATTTTTTATGCATACATATGTATGTACATTGTTATTTATATATATATATTCTTCGTTTACTATTATAGTATATTTGTTATAAATGCAACAACGATGTACATATGTACACATATGTACATACATATAGTCACTCTCAAAATTAATCATGCTTTGACTTGTGAGACACTTGCTATCATTCGCTTTGCGCTGCTTAAAATGCAGAATTCGAAATTCCGTTTTATTATTTTAACCACTAGAAATTAAGCAGACCTCAAGCGAATAATTAATCCAGTCCAGCAGCGAGACATTGTCAGAAAGATAAGAAGTAAGAAAGTAAAAAAAAAAGGACGACAATGTCATAGTTTTAGCTGAGACAGTCAGACAAGTTCTGTTTAAAACGACGTGCAAACGTCAACAACTCTCTACTCTGGCATTTGGAAAAAAACATCATCGAAACTTAAATGACTGGGAGAAAGTTATATGATCGGTGAGATCGATTAGACAAAAATAAATCGTTTTGGGTCGGATTGTCGGTTGTGTCGCTTGGAGAAACAAAGACTCGTAATTGCAGCCATATCATTTTAGACCAAATATGAAATTTTGAGGGGGTTCATTCATGGTTTTGGGGTGCAGGACTTCCAAGGGTGTTGGTGGTAGGCTTGTGTAAGTTATAGGAAGAATGAATTAATATGTAGGTATTTTACAAAATATTTCAATTAGACTAGGGCCACTACCAACTCTAAACTGGACTAAGGTAAGACTTCAAGGTTCTTTGCTGACCTCAAAGGGGTTAGGTCGCCGAAAGAGTGACAGCCCTTGGCCGGATAAAATGCGTGTCAACTCCGGTGAGTAGAACTGGCTGCTTTTAGAGTTGATATAGAATGGGATGATGAGATATCTCTTTTCTCCGCAGTAGCTAAGACTCTTGAGGCCTTTCTGCTCCCGACTTTTACGCAGCATCTGCGTCCAGAAGCATGGCTGCTGTAAAGTAGTTGATCATGGCATACCTGAGCGGTTGTCAATCATGACTGGAATTTTCAGACCAAACATCGAAACTCAGAGAGATTAAGCAAAAGGTTTGGCACGGTGGTGTCCTTTATCTACCTTTTACTACATCTCGAAGCTTTCTCCTTCCCAGAAGGGGTTTCCCTGATATTGGCGTCTGACCAGATGTTGACTTGTGTATGAAAGTAAGCTGCTATCTCGACTTCTTTTTCCGCTACTTCACTGCAAGACAACTGAAACTAAAACCTATAAAATCCTCGGCTGCCCTATTCACCATCTGGACGAAGGAGTACAGGCTCGGGTTCGATGGCCTCAAAATTCCGCCTATGCGACTGGGAGTCACATTGGACAGCCTGTGCACCTTAACTCGGGTTACGAGCGCACTTACCGCAAAACTCCTGAGTAGCAACAAAATCCCCTAAGCGTCTGCCGGCAGCACCTAGGAAAAAGATTAAGAAACTTTGCTGAGCGCTAGCCAGCAGCATCTTGGAGGGTAAAGACAGAAACCTTGCTGGCAACATACAAAGCAATTTGTCGGCCGATATAGGCGCCGGGGACGAATGAGGCGCAGATGAAGAAGATACAGGCTAGCCAGAACACCGCCCTCAGGACCGCGACAGGAAACCCTCTGATGTTGCCGAAGCATCACTTGCACAGCGAAGCATCTATGCTACGAGTTAATCATAAAAAGCACCCTATTGCATACAACACGCTCGAGCATCGAAAGACCCGCATTAAACTGGCACAACTTAGGTCTGGATTCTATAGCAGGTTAAACTCCTACCTATCCAGACTCGACTCCAACACACCCAACGTATGCCCTGCACGTTGATAATCCGCACGACACTAACCACCTCTTTACATGCCCCCTCAAACCGACATATCTAATCCCCCTCTCCCACGGTTCCGATCCGGTCGAAAAAGCCCGTTTCCTCGACCTCCCGTTAGATGATATCGATGATTTAGACTGACTAGCCTGTTCCTAAGCGCAGTTGGTAAGCCGCTACAACAACAAGGCTTCTAGGTGGTCGATTTTGTGATTGACTGTATGTTCATATAGACAGAGTGACAAACAGCAAGAGGGTGTGCAACAAAAAGAAAATTGATATACAGTTATAAAGGTGACACGATTTTCTTTTCATAGGATTCTATGAATGTGTGTACATATGTTATCATCTTAATGTATCTTGTTTGCATAGATACAATGTACAACACTATTTTGTTGCTAATAAGGAAGCCTCTATTCATTTATTCGTCCATTAAAAGCAAGCCTTCGAATTGTATTCAATACGATGATTGATTGGCTTTAGAATACTTCCAATATAAATGAAATGCAGCGCATCCATAAGTTTTGGTATACAAGTTATTAGCCCGCCTCGCCCAGGCACAAACTATTGCCGCTTATATAAAAAAAAAAATAAAAATACATTAACGTGTCTTCATTTAATATCAACCATGGAATTAATAGTCGCAGCGATATAACATGAGGAAGAGCAAAGCGCATCCAATGACTCTATGACTATGTGGCAAGAGTTGAATTTAGAAGCATGCGAGACATGTGTAAACCTTTTTACATGAGTGACGAGTTGTAGGAAACTTTGCTTGAAATAAAAATAATTCTTTATAAATGAACAACTTATTTAAACTAAAATAATAATAATATGAAAATGAAAATGTATGCAGTTAGATACAGTTTCAATGTTACTGTTTCCGCCTTTCTTCTGTAGCATTGTAATAGCCAAAAAGCATCATTAAAGTTAAAAAAAAAAGAACTAAATAGAAAAACTATCATTTTTCGTTTTCCAATAAGAGATATTATTGCGATATTTAAAGAAATATGCTACCTTTTGAGATGAAAGTTCGGCTGTTTATTTCAATGTAAGAAGGAAGATAAGCCATTTAAATGAGTAACATTACCAGCCAAATGATCACCTTGGCTTCGCAGTTTCTGCTTTATGCCCTCAATAGCTTCACGACTTTATCTTAACCGTGAACCCAATGGCGATCCGCTCTTCGAGAGATATTACGGTCCGGAAACTTTTCCCTTAAAAGATTGATGGTTTCGTTGCTTGTATGACGCTTAGCGTCTTGTTGATAATAAACGTGATCCAGATCAATACCATTCTATTCCGGGCATGAAAAATCAACAATCATCTCCCCATTGCCCAATCCATTCACCGTTACTGCTCCTTCAACCTCTATCGAAAAAGTAAGGTCCAATGACCATAAACCGCCGCACCAAACAGTTACACGCTGATGATGGAGAATCTTTTCGACAATTAATCGGGTTTTCCATTTCAAGGACCCAATTAGCAAGTACACGACGTTGTTGATGTTCGGCCGGTTCGGCCGGCTTGAGTTCTTGTGTTAACTAAACGCAAGCCTTTATGCAAAATGCAGGGTAACAACATTTATGAAATGCCCAATACCAAAAGACGACGAGATATAGCTTTCCTCAACAGTTTGGAGTACAGCAACAATATTCGAGGATTGATTAAACCGAACGCAGAATCAAAAATTTGCCGAAATGAGGAATTTCCGATTCAAGTCGAAATGCAAATATGAGGAGCTTTTTTATTTAATGTCAGAAATACATGCGACATTCCCTGCCGAGAATAGGCCGCGATTATAAAAAATTATACTTTTTTTTTTTAATTTTTAATGATGGTCGCATCCGAACTCGAATCCTGGCCATCCGAATGTTAGTACGCAAATAGAGATTTTTTCACAGAGTCTTTTGCTAAGAATTTCCATTACACTCAAATTGAAATTTTATTATAAGTACATACATATGTATATACATCGTTTTCTAATTATGTAAAATACTATTTTTTTTTGTATTATTTTAGGTATATTTACAGAAATTATTAACGTGAAAATAATAAATTGCAAAAATCACAGTACCAAGATAAAGTGTTTACATACATTGAGAACATTTACACTACATACACGTATAAGCATAAAAGAGAACAGGCCAATCGCGACTACTCACGAAAGAGCGGGGAAGTATATAAGAAACTCTGTTATTTTGGACATGTCATGTCAGCAAGTATCACGACTCACTACAACAACAGCAAAAGAAGATTTATCTGAAGATCAGGATCCGTATGTGTTCACAGAAACAGTGCCAACCACGCCACCCATTTTATTTAACGCTCAGGTGCTTATTGCTCCAATTTGTAGTTTTTTTTTCTAGAATCGCATTTTATCGGTAATTGAATATGTTTTCGATATATATGTATGTGTAGAAATCGCGAAGCCGAGTTTTTGTAGACACGCAAGCAATAACAACAACACCACCAATACCAATACAAACATTATCACCAACACCAGCTGCTGTAGCAACAGCAACTACAATAGCGCCAACCATAGCAGCACCAACGCCTGCGACATTAACGCTCGTCACAGCTGCCGCCAATAAGCGACAAACCACGCCAACAGTTACAACCAACAACCACGCAAAATTAAAATTCAATCAGAAACTGCCATTGGGACCGTTGAATGGCAATAATACAAAAACGCAGGCGACAACGACGTTGGCTGCTGCAACGGGCCATAATGGGTCCACAGCAGCGGCAACGTCAAAAGTCGTTTCGCCTACAACTGTGAAAATGACAAATTCGCAATCTCAATCTCACAAGCAGCAGCAGCAGCAGCAAAGGAAAGCTCTAAATGTATGTATAGTGCGACCTCAGCAGCAGCAGCAGCAGCAACAACAACATCATCTTACTCCGACTTTGCGACAGCAACAGCACTATAAAGGGCAACAGCAGCAGCAGCGAAAGCAATCAGCTTCACCGCCGCCGCTGCTACAACACACGCCATCATTATGGCAGACACCGTTGCTGTTGGACACAACCTCTGCAGTGGTTAGCCCACCGACATCACCCGCTTCAATGTCCTCACCAACAGTTGAAACTAGCATAACACCCACTTCAGTAACGTTGTCCACAGCAGCAGCTACGGCTATGGTAAGCCCGTTGATTACTGTATCGGCTACACCATTACCACCATCCAAATTCCATCACAACACATTGGCACAGCATTTACAGAAAGTCGAATGCATTAAAAAGCCAAAGAAATCAATTGTTGGCGTCGATGGCATAAATAGCAAACAAGTGGTGCAGTTTGCACCACACCAATATAATCAGGAGCAAGATGTTTTGCTTAAACAACATCAGCAACAGCCACAGTTGATGTTGCAGCAACAACACTTAAATGAAGTAGGCGCCAAAACTGTAGTAGTGCAACCTACATCAACCCTCACGAATACACATTTGTCCCAACAGTCCCAAACACAAATGCAGATGCAAAAGCCATACGTGATGGCCACATCTTCAGCACCGCCACCGTTGCAGGCAATTCAGGCGGTTACACCACCACAACATTCCGATTCCGATTTGAATGAGATTCCAGTAAATGTTATATTTCGTAAGCCTCAAGCCTCGGGTGAAAGACTTCATACGCAACTCAGTGGCAATGTAAATGTTAGTGCAGCGGGTACTAACAGCGACAAAGTCAATGCAAAGGTAAACAGTAATAGAAGCTCAGCACAGGAGGCAGCCAAAAAAATTTCAACAAATATAAAACCGAAAAATATGCGCATTATACCATCCATTGCTCAGCCGAAGAGAAAGTCGATTCCAATCCTGGCTGCAGAAGCCACAACATTAACAACAACAAGTTCACAGCCACCTCCAAGTGTGCTACGCGATATTGTTTTCACGCATACTGGCACTGTGAAGTTTGCAACCAACAAAGAAGATACTTCGCCGCCACCTGCCCACATATACAACGCACCTCGAGCTCAACCACCTGCGGCTATAACAAAACAGCAACAAAATATGTCTTCCGTGGCCAAGCCACTACCACTACCACCACCACCACCACTACAACCACAAACACAATCACTTAAATATGCTACTACAATAACCCCTGCTCAAGATACACGAAAGCCGGTAGAAGTTGTTAAAAACATGTGCGAGGAACAGAGTTACCCGCAAAAAATAACAGATACCAACAAAACAATCGTTGCGGCCAAAGCCACTTCTGCGACTGCAAAGAATATACCGAAACGAAAAACACCTGCCCCGCCTATGTTTGTAACAAAAAACAAAAATCACTTGCCACCCTTCATAAAAAAGCGCATCAACAAAATGGGTCCTGTTCATCGAACACATGATAATGAAATGATGATCAGTGGCAATGCTGTGTCAGAGAGCGGCGTTGGCGCCAATGCACAAATCAAACACAATCACCATGCAGTGGCGGTGGTAAAGATGTCGACAGCCGAAATTGAGGCTGATACCACATTGTTGGCATCTGCCTCAGTTTTACCATATTGCGTACAGAAACATTGGCTATATATAACCCGTGAGTCGCAGTTTGTTCGGGGTGTTGGTGTGGTTGCATCCACAGTTGGTAAAAGTGTTGATACGTTGAAAGAAATTTTTAAGTCGGCTAACGATCGCGAGCTGTATATTACACAGAGGAAAACGCTTTTGCATCGTCAGGCTTTGCAGCTTCTCTCCACACATTCGTTGCAGAAACTGCCAATGCAGGCAGCAAAACGCCGATTGATGTGCGTGGATCGTTTGTTGCGAAAATACCAACGTCACGGCGAGGAAGAGTAAGTAAAATCAATTATTTTGTCTTTAATTTAGAGTTTTTTTTTGTTTTTATGCCTAACAATGCCACTGTCTCATTTCATAGTCTAACCGCTGAAACGATATGTAATTTCGTGGGTTGCACTAAATACGTTCTTGAAATGGCGGATCAATGCGAAGATCACATTGTAAACAATATGTCACAGCACATCTTCTTGCCGTGTACGGCGAAGTTCGCCGATAATACCCAATGCCGTATCCCGGTATTCGATATTATACACGATCTGCCGTTGTGTACAGAGCATGCGCGTAAGCGTGATGCCTATAATCGCGCTATGCATTATCAACAGCGTTCAGGAAATCAAAAATATGCAGCGGCCACGCTCACCACACCAATGACACAACCACCATCAATGGATTGTGGTGCAGGGGACTTGTTACATCAACTACAGCAAATTAAGTACCAACATAAACAACAACAGCAACAGCAACAGCAATTAAACACTCAAAGTAGTCCACATAATGCTGCCGCTACTATGGGCAAGAGCAAAAAGTCGGCTAATGTGAAATCGACAACTGCCCGCAAACGCAAAGCATCTAATACACCGGCGGCTAATACGGTTGGTCGCACGCAAAAGCGAGCACGCAAAGTGGGTATTAACGGTACGCCGTCCGTGTCTGTTGTAGCTGCTACAATAGCGCCTTTACAATTGACTTCAGCAGTGCTGCAACGTAAGAGCAGTACTACTTCACTAGAATCAATCGCAAGTAATTCGCAATCCTCCAGCTCGCAGCCGCATTATATCTCTTCGAATATGAATGTTCAAGGTCAATGTAAGATTGCAATGCCGGCATTGGCTCCGCTCAGTGGACATAATGCGCCAGTTGTGAGTAATACTTTAACATCGGTACCTGCGCCTAAACGTATGCTTCATTTCAACACCAATAGTGTTTATAATAGCGGTGCAACAATAGGCACAAACACCGCTGATAAAGTGATGGCTCAAGATTTCAAACCACCGGAAATCAATCAATTGGTGGCACAATTTTCTGTAGCAGTGAATAACAGTAATAGCAACAGCAATAACACAAATAACAATGAAAATAGCAATAGCTTCAACACATACAATAATAGTAACAGTATAAATAACTGTTACAATTACATAACCACAAATAGTGATTCCAACTTCACTTCGGCGCTAGGCTCGTCATCATCTTTACCTTCGTCATCGGAGGAATTATTCCGACAGGATTTGTTGAGCGTTTGTGAGAACAGTTCAGCATATGCTAGCTCTGAGGATACCGGCTTGGGTGGTTTGAGTGAGACTGAACTGATGGTTGGACCCAATGATGCAGGTGAGCCATCTAAAATGTAGAAATCCATTTTGAAACTTTTTATAATTTTGAATTTTTTTGTACAGATGATATACCGTTGGGCGATACACGTTTGCTGGAGGAGCACGACTTGGCGAATGTGCTTAGTGGGCTGCCAGAGGATGCATTCAATGAGTTATTTACCGCAGGTAAAGTCATAATTATACATACATTTATATTTTTGAGCATTTAATTGTTTTGAGTACTAAAAACGTTTGAAGCATGTACACATAACTATCATAACTTTTTAAAAGCATTTACTACAATTCGAAATTTTACTTATTCGCTTAATCAAAACCATTTAGTGCATCAAGAAGAACGTGAGGAAGTCGAGAGAGCTCTCGAATTGGCTGATAAACATCTAAAGAGTCTTCAGCAGACAATTGGTTCGGATATCGATTTCTTAGCTGATTTTCCTGACGATGATGAGATTCTAGCTGATACCGATGCAATGTGCGGAAACATGGATATTGTGTCGTCAGTGATGCATTCGCCCGACGCCACATCCGGTATTGATACTTCAACACTATTTATCGATAGTGGCAGCAACAGTGTAGGTGGCGGTGGTGGTGGCGGCAGCATTAATTCCAACAATATGGCCGACATACGAGGTCTTGTACAAACGTAAATATTATATTCAAACAATTGCGTTTGGTATCCTTGAGAGTTCTGTAGATGGTATGTCAATGATGTGTGTTGCATATGGCGTTGAGTTAAAAATAATTTAGTATGTAGAAGGAATAAAAATGAAAAAAACTAAAACACAAAAAATTATGAAAAAATAGAAAAAGTAAGAAAAAAAGGAAAAAGTAAGATATTTTATGAAAAGAAATAAATGGTTTCAGAAGCAATATAGCATTTGGCGCTTTTATTCATTTTCATTTTTTTTTTAGATTATAAAAGTTGTATGATTTCAAAATAATAATAATTTAGGTTATGCTTAATATTCGCTTTTTTGCTTTTTCCCTTGACTAATCGCATAGAGAATTGAATCGCGAAATGCTATGTTGTTTTTGGGGTCACTAAAAATAATTATTAATAAAATTTATATACATTATACATACTTATGCTTACATATATACAAACAAAAACTTCTCTAATGTATGTTTGTAGAAAATAAAAAATAAATAGTTTAGAGCTAGCTAGGCAGCAAGGAACACAATATGTATATGGATGTTTCATGAAAATGAGCATAGACGCATTATGTATGCGCAACAATCGTTGACAACAAACGATAAAGATAAAAATATGTAATATGAAAAGAAGAAATAATAATTGAAATCAGATACCATGAAATATGCAAGTAAATATTTGAAACAAACAGTTAAATAACGTTTTACTGAATATATAATTAGAGTATCATACGTTGACTAATTCGAGTTAGTAGATCTAAGCGTAAGGGTAAAAGTTATAACTTATGTAATTATGTATGTAAATCCTTAAAAAATTCGTGAAAAATTAAGGGAAAGCGGTAGTAAATGAGAATATCATGGGGTATGGTAGGCAAAGGCAAGAGGAAAAAATCAAATTCAATAATGAAATATTTTGCTAATGAAAAATGAGTGAATGCTAATTTCCATTAGCCTTAAAAAATTTGAATATTCTTTTTTTTTTTTACCTATTTCTAATAAAACTGCTTTATTTTAAGCAAGCTCTGTCAAATAGATAAATAATACTTAGCATTTTCACATTCTTTCGTTTCTATTCTTTTCAGGCTATATCAATATTTTGCGCTGTATATATTTTTTACGACTGTACCACATCACGGTAGTACCCATTACTACTTAGCATTTGCTCATTTACATTATGTGAGCAAAATATTTTGTAAAACTTTTAAAATAAAATCATGTAATTGAAAAGTGTGTTTAACTTCAAGTTGCACTAAATTAAAAAAAAAACAGATAACTTGAATTGTAAAGTAAAATAGAAAATAAATTGAATTCTTAGAAAGAAATGCACACAAATAAATGTAAGGCACATCGAAAAAACGTAACAGAAGATATAGAAAAAAGTGTTTCGCTTAAAATGCCTGTGTTAAAGTGTGGTTTAACACACTACAAGGCATCTTAAATTGCCTTGGACTGAAAATTAAATGATAAAGAAACTTCTGTTAAAGTAAAATGATAAGTCGAAGTTTTAACAATAACCGATAACCAATTGGGCAACCATGCATTGTATTATTATATAAATTACAATATATGTAACTACTACTTTAAGATAATGCTTTATACACTACTACTAAATTAATTTTTTTGTTTTCATTTATTTTTTTTTTTTTATAAATTTTACATTTCTTTTTATAGTGTTTGTTCTTTTTATAATTTCCATATATGTATAATATAATATATATTAGTGATAAAACTGGCTTTAGTTAAAAGTAAAACAAACCACTTTGCTGAATTCGAAAGTAAAAAAAAAAGAAGTAAAAAAAAGAAGTAAAAAAAAATGTGGAAAAGTGGAGATTAGTATCATATATACCTGTGTGTGTGCATGTATATTGAATGTCCTTTCAGATCATTACTACTGTTTGATTTGTGTATCTACTATTTCGGCATATTTATCTAACAAATGGCACTAAATATGTATGTTTATAAGTAAACTCTATGTATTGTACTGTGTATGCCTGATTTTCTTGCTATATCTATGTTTAATATATTACATTATATAGTACATTTGATATGTACGTATGTGTGTCGTTCTCATTTGATTGTTGTATGCGTTTAGTAACTCTTATCTCGGCAAGTATATACATACATATACATATATATGTGTGTATATATGTGTCTAAATATTTGTTTATGTATAAAGGAAAAAAATATATCTAGAAAACAAAATATTTGCTGTCATGAAAAGTTATATTTAACAATATATTTAGATTTAAACCTGTAAATTTTCATCTATTTACACCTTTCATTTAATTAAACTATCATTCTTATCATTATTCTCATCTCATTCGCCATCTACGCTCGAGTATTATAACATGTACATGCATAAGTGCATTTTACCTAATTTCTATATATTTTATATGCCTATATATATGTATATATATATATATATATATATATGTTTGTAATGACTTTCATCGATCGCCTGTTCAGCGCCTACCATGCATTCATTAACACACATTTCAGCGCACACTATATAAATAAGTATTGTAAATGTACATACATACATATGAAACTAGTTTACCTATCAAGTTCGGAAGGGTGTGATGCATAATGCGGTTATCGGTTGGTGAAGTGAATGGGTTTTTTTGTTGTAAAAATTTTGATCGAAATGAAGATTAAAGCATCCTTAATGTGGTCGTACAACAACCAACACACACAGTCACCGTCAATCATCTGGTACTATATAGTAAAATATTTGGAGAATCGACGAAATAAGTACATATGTATTTACATAAATGTGTAGCCACTATTTTAAAAGTAACTTTTTTTTAAAATTGAATATTATAACTTGTGTTGTAAAATGGCTAATGATTAATAGCGCCAAATACAATTGTACAAAATTTGCTTTTAAAATTCAATCGTACGAAAATATCGAACAAAATTTGTTATATACTGCATATACAAACTTTTATATTTTTTACTATTAATTTTTTGTTATATAGCTTTTATTATATGAATTCATATGTATGTATAAAAAAAATATTTATATACACTATATGAATGTATTATATAATATAATTACCATATAATTAAAAATGCATATGAATTACACATCCATATGGGTACAGACATACGTACATAATATTTAACAGCTATTTTTTATTAATACTAAAATAAATGAAATTATTACGGCATTAAAATTAAAATAAAAATGAAAAAATAAGATGTAAAAAATTAAAACAAAAAAAAAATCTAAATATAAATATATACATATATATATATATATATATATATATATATAAATTATCTCTGTAGTAGATTGAGGAGACACTGTATGTATGTAGTTAAAAGCGAAAGAAACAGTTACATTTTGTGTATGCTGTAACATGCAACCACATGTAAATTTATTGTGTTCACATACAATAGGCACGCATACGATTCTTTACTCACACATCTTACGTAACTTTCTTTCGTAATTTCTGCATTTGTGATTTATTTTTGTACGATTAAAATCAAATTTTTAACAAAAACTGAATAAGCTGAAGGAAAAAAAGAATTTTTTTAGAAAATAAAAATAAAGAAAAAAACAAAACAAGAAAAACAGTTTGGATATAATTTTTGTTGGGCTCTGGCTCTAATTTTATTATAGTGATGGTAGAAATTACAAAAGTATGTCTAAGGGAGTCCTTAGTGTCAATTACTAAATTCTTAATGTGTGCCTTGCAACACGACAGGAATCATAAAAATAAAAGATACGAGATCAGAAGTGGCATATAGTATGAGGCTGGTTAAATAGAATATGTTATGCTCATACGTTCTACGAAAAATACATAGAAGGCTTAAGAAGCTTACAAACTAGAAGTTTCTTTGGAGGACGATGGGGAGCCGACAACGTAGAAAAAATTCTTTTGTCGCTGGGTTTCATAGTTCTAATCATACTTTGATTTACGATCTTCTTCAGCTAGCTTCTAGGATCAACTTCCAGCTTGCTTTAATAACGAAGTACAAGAGCAAACTTTAATTCTTTCTTTCATTGTTTTTAGTGTAGAAGATACTGTTAGTTGTTTATTTTTTTTACATTTATCAATACATTCTTTATTTGATAACAAATTATTTTTGAGACAACTACCTTTTTATAACAGCACCGTAAAGAACAGTCTTTATTTCTTCTGTTGAAATATATGTAATAGACGCTTAGTAACTGCTGTAGTGATTTCCGACCCAGCTCTTTCTATTTTGGGGTTTTCGTTTAGATCCTTTTCCAACAATTGAAGTTTATTCTATGTCGCCTCCGAACGGCAATGAGTTTTTATGAGGATCAGTGATTTTCATGTCAGAAGTACACTTTGGTCTTGACATTCCCGGTCGAGGGGCGACCACAATTAGAAAAACTAACTTTCTATAATTTTGGATGTTGGTCGATCTAGGTCTCGAACCCCGGTATTCCGAATTTCAGTAGACAATGCCAATCACTCCCCTATTGCGGTCGCAATATAAATGTAAAATTATAATTAATTTTTGTTGATTATTATTCTTTTCACTAATTCTTTAAACAATAAAAGAGATACTTTAGCATTCAAGGCTAATCATGTATAACAATGATTAATTTTCATTTCATATTAGTTTATTTACAAAAATAAATTAATTTTAAAACAAATTTTTTTTTAACATATGATGCTTAAATTGCTACAACAATTTCTTGTTTATAATATTTTATAAATATATATATTTTTTAATTATTTTGGTTTTGGTTTTTGTTTCATAACTCTGTAGTCTCTAATTTACGCGCTAATATTTGAGCATTATTAGTTAATTTATCAATTTGATTGTACACGTTGAAGTGACGATTGAGGTCATTTGTGTGATTGAAGAGTTTGGCAGTGCCCTTCAGTGTTTCATGTATATCCTGTGTACCAATTGCCAGAAAATTATCATCTAAAGAGTCCTGGCCGCCTTGACTACAATGGGTATGAAGAAGAGCTTATATGTAAAATGATTTTTCCAGTATTTAAACTAAAGAAATAAAATTTTCTGTTTACCTCAGATTTTCCTCATTTCTAAACCATTCATTTTCATAGCCCTTAAGCCAAATTGGGTTTGAGCCTTGTACACTGTGCTTATTCGTATTGGGGACTCGTGTTGCTGGTTCGGTGTTATTGTGCAGTGATAATGATGAATTCCCTGCAATTTTGATTTTTTTACCATTCAGTACAATATACAATGTATATATATGTTGTTTCTGCTTTTAAAAGCAGACTTACTGAATATATTCACTTTTGCGGCGCGCAATTGTCTCTTGTAACCCTTTCGCTGTGAGGCACATAGCGCCAATGTTACCACCAAAAGAGTGGCCAAGAATAAATTGGTAAATATCAACCAAACAAACATCGGCTTTGGTGGACCTGCTGTTAGCAATTCTGCCTCTGCAGCCTGTGTGTCCAGAACATTTAACTCTTTGAAAAGCCCATCCAAATGTTCGATATGTTGATCGATTAATTTAAGCACCTCAGGTACTTCGAAAATGGAGTTATCCTCTCTCTCAACTAAATGCATATACAGATCAGTTTTTGTCTTATCCACTGAGCCATCTTTGTTTTCATGCACCTTGATTTCGTCAATATTCACAATTGCGCCCGTGACGTTGCTGAGAGTACTGTAAAGTGAGCAAAAATTTAGTTTATAAAAATGTAACTCACGCAAGTCTGTTGCAGATATGAATTAAAGGAAACTTACTCTCTGAATGCATTTATTTTAAGCCTCAACTCATCTGGCTGCAATCGAAAAACGAATTTCACTTTTTGGTCCTCTCTTAGTAAATAGATGAACACATGGGCTACGTCCTTCATGCCCAATGTATCATTGGCTAGCACCATAAAATCAAAATATCCTTTCATACCCTTTTGTGGATCGAAGTTTAATTGCACATTACCCGTCTCACGATCCACAAGAAAGGGCGCCTTCTTAACATTATCCAAACCCTCTGATAATGTTTGTCTTATATCACTGATTATATAGTATGAGATCTGCGCATTTACACCTTCATCAGGATCGACGGCTTCGATGCGCATAAATTGTGTACCGAAATCGGCACTTGTGGTTATACCACCGGTGAATACCTTGGTACGAAACTTGGGCGGATTGTCGTTAACATCCAAGACACGTACGCGTATACGCACTACAGTGCTATCAAATAACAGCAGCTCCTCACTAGTTAGCGTGACATTCCCATTGTTTATCTCATAGGAGTCTTCATTTTCTTCATCGCTAAGTGAACGCAAATTACGTGAATGCTTATAGCGATCGAAAAATTCCGTATTTCGTAAAAATCCACCCTGTTTGCGGCCAGCATTCAAGTTAGATGTTTGCGCAGTTGGGCTATTTTCTAAAAAGTTATCCGAACGACGATTAGCGGGATAGGGCAGCTTATCATTCGCACAATTTTCGCTAGCTCTTACAAAAAGTGAGTAGTTGGCAATAACTTCACGATCGAGTTCTCTTACGGTGGTGAGTATATGTGTTTCAGGTTCTAGCTTAAAATAGCCCTCCTCATTACCTCTTACAATGAAATAACAAACTAAACTAGGCGGATCGTCGAGATCATCTACTTCATCTTTGTCGATTGTATCGGGTAGTTTAACTCGTTCCGCACCAGGATCGGCATGCTCTACAAGAAATGTAAGCATTTAAAAATATATATAATTTTTGAGTCCTTTAGGAAATGTTTTGAATAACGAACCTGTAAAATTAACATTGATTTCTTCAACGACAAATTGTGGCTCGTATTCATTCACGTTTCTAATATAGATTGTTAAGTCTAAATCAGCACTTAAAGAAGTGGGTAGGCCCTGATCATAAGCTTCAATTCTTATCTGAAAATAAATATTAAACAATTACGATATTTCTGAAACTGACTATCGAACCTCAGATTTAAATTTGATATTCGAAAAACCATCTCACCTACAAAGAGAGAGAATCAGCAGAAATTATTGATGATGAATGGGCTTAAGTCGTGGGTCTCGCAAACATTACCTCAGATCCCTAATTAGAATGGAGGCTGCCGTATTTTGTATAAAGGTTAAGGTCTTAAAGCATATATAGTTCAGTTAATACAACAACCCAAGCCGGCCGAACATCAATAACGACCAAATAACAAATGCATAAATGATCCGGAATTCCATCGAAAAATCATCTTGACTGATGAGGTCCATTTCCACCTCGATGACTAAGTCAATAAGCAATCGGTCGAATTTGCGGCTCAGAAAACCCAATATTTTGAAAAGCTCCCCATCCTCAACGTGTAACTGTTTGGGGCGGTTTATGGGTCGGCGGGGTCATTAGCCTTTACTTTTACGAAAATGAGGTTAGTGTAATAACTACGGAAAATGGATTAAACTGTGATGATATTTTATGGCCAGAATTGGATGGTAATTGACAACCTTTATCTTCAACAAAACGGCGCTACGTGCCACATAAGCAACGAAACCATCAATCTTTTAAGGGCATTGTTTGCGGACTGTGTTATGTCTCGAAGATATGTTCGCAATTGGCCAAGGAGATCTTATGATTTAACACTTTGAGCTCTTCCTTTGGTGTCACTGGAAAGATAAGGTCTACGCCAACAGGCCAACATTGATTCAAGACTTCAAAGAAGGAGTTCGTAAAAAGTCAAATACAGCCCTGAAAGCGTAGCCGTGGCGGTTTTTTTGGTTGATATTGTTTTCCATTATCAATGGCATATCTCCTTACATTCGGTCATTCATTTAAAAAAAATTTTCTTTGAATATCAAAATAAGAAATCATATTGGAAAACAATAGAAGCATATATCTATCTTTTATGGAACTTCATGATCAACTATCTCAAATTAAGTACAATATACTATCGTAAACCTTTTCAAACTACCAAATAGTCACTCCCATCTGGCTTTGGAACACATGTAAGCGTATTGTTTTTGAGCTTGTGATGGCGGCACATGGTTACGCAGATACTTCTAGAAAACTATTACAGCTCAATACAGTTTGTTGTTCAAATAAGTGAACTTAATCTAAGTAAAGCCAGACGCGATCTCAACTTGTACAAATGATATCATAATGTTGCGAGCTATATATCTCAGTAGACAAATAAAAGGTAAAGTAAAAGGTTCGTTCGGTTTTTATCTAAGAGATGACGTTATTGTCCATAGTACTAGTGTCGCATCATGTCATACCATCTGCGAATCGCTGCTGAATCGAAACAAAATCGACCCGTTTCGGAAGTGGATTGTGACTGGCGATGAAAAATGGGTCACTTACGACAACATCGAGCGCAAACGGTCGTGGTCAAAACTCGGAGTAGCGGCTCAAGCGGCTGCCAAGACCGGATTGACGGCCAGGAAGGTTTTGCTCTGAGTTTGGTGGGATTGGCAAGGAATCATTTACTATGAGCTGTTCCCCTATGACCAAACACTCGATTCGGCCCTCTACTGTCAACATATGGACCGCTTGAAGGCAGCACTTATCAAGAAGAGGCCATCTTTGATCAACAGAGGCCGAATTGTGCTCCATCAAGACAACGACAGGCCACACACGTCTTTGGTGATGCGCCAGAAGCTCCAGGAGTTCGGATTAGTGGTACTCAAGCACTCTCCTTATACTCCGGACTTGGCACCAAGTGATTTGCATCTTTTCCTGTCCACGGCTCACGCGCTTAACGGTGAGAAGTTGGCCTCAAGAGAGGCCTGTGAAAATTGTATATCCGAGTTTTTTGCCAATAGGGACGCAGCCTTCTACGAGAGGGATGTAATGAAGTTGGCATCATGTTGGCATCACGATGGCAACAAGTTTACGAACAAAATGGAGCAAACTTGGCTTAAATCGGACAAATGTACACAAAGTTATCTTATTTTGAAAAATCTATAAAAAACCAATTTAAAGTAAAATTACATGCTCACAGCGTAGAAGGAATATCTCGTCTATATGTCTTGTAGAAAAATATCGGTGTGTACACTGCGACGGGTGGCGAATAATAAATATTTCAGCAGAGCGTTGGATTCGAAGGAGAGACCTATTGAAAGGCCTAATGACCATAACGTCTAAAGCTTAAAAAAATACCAAATTCAAATTCAATTACCTCATGTATTTTCTGCTTCTCGCGATTTAATTTTTCCTTCAAAAACAATTGTCCAGTCTCATTGTCGAGTTCAAATATCTTATAGCTACCTAAGGGATCGGGTTTCAAGCGATAGCGAACTAAGGCATTCATGCCAATATCCTCATCGGTAGCCACAACTTGCAACAATTGTGTGCCGATAGTAGTATTCTCAGGTATACGTAGCGTGGTATTATGTAGAGGCGTAACAAAAACTGGTGGATGATCATTAAAATCAGATATACAAATGTCCAATGTCTTAGTAACGACATTCGAGGGTACACCCAGGTCACGTGTGGTTACGGTGAGGGTGTGATTACCAAATTTATTGCGCAAATGGGTGCGCGCATAAATATTTGCAGTCCAATGATCGAGTTGATGCAGTTCAAAAAGATCTAATAAAACATTATACACATATTTTTCATTGCAAATAATTCTGGTGTAAACAATTCCTTTTCCATATACTGACCAAATTTATTGCCTTTCGTGATTTTAAATTCTAAGCGTCCATTTGGAGAGTTCGGATCATCTGCATCTTTGCCACGTATAGTCGCGATTTTTTCATTCAATTCGTGATATTCCGTAATCAGCACACAGCTTGTGGGCAATGAAATTTCCGGGGGGTTATCATTTTCGTCCAATATGGATATACTTAAAGTAAGAATAGAGAAATAATGAAAAGTCGGCCTACTAAAGACAAAATCAAAACATACAATATTTGCTTGAAGGCATTGCGGCTCTCGCCGGCTAGGAAACCGAACTGATAGTTGTCCCAAGCCTCGATTACCAACATATAAAAGTCCTTTGTTTCTCGGTCTAATTTATCGGCGACAGAGAGCACACCAGTGTCTGCGTCGATTGAAAACTTGCCCTAAAATAATTTCATGTAATTTTCACATCATTTCCTTTTTTCTGTTCACTTGACTGCCTTACCTGCGAGCTTATGCGATCCATGAGGAATGTGATTTTACCGAAATCACCTGAGTCGGCATCAGTCGCTTGTACAGTGCCAATTCTCGCGCCTACTTCGGCATTTTCACTTATCGTATAATTTTTAGAACCACCAATGAAATACGGATTGTTATCATTTTCGTCCAAGACCGACACATAAACATCAACCAGGGCAGATCGTGATGGCACACCGGAGTCCGTAGCACGTACAGTTAAATTCAACCACTGATATTGTTCGTGATCGATTTTATTAGCGACCACCATTTCGCCAGTTAGCGAATCAAGATGAACCAGATTTCTTATAGCGGGATTGCCCTCCAGCGAATACGTGATTGTCTTATTCTTATCGACGTCATAGGCGATTACATTTGCAATCAATACACCGTTAATACTGTTTTCGGTTATTGTTTTACGATAGAATGGCTGTTTGAACTTTGGATTGTTGTCATTTTCATCTTCGATTATTATATTCAAAAAGCCTGAAGATAAAGGTATCGGAATAAAACAATTCGAAGTTGGTTGGAATAATAAAGCTGTTGAGAAATAAAAATGTTTGCAGTTTACCTTCGACCACTTGCTTGCCTTTTACCGCTGCCAAGTCCTCGACGCTTATGGCCAATTTGAGATACTCCACCTTCTCGCGGTCCAGCAGTTTCAGTAGCTAAGTAAGAAGAAAATTGTGTAAATTAGGCGAAATTATCGGTAATATCTGCTGTTTTTAAATCTACCTTGAGTGTACCCTCAATGGGATCCAAGTCGAAGGCACTTAAAAAATCAAATTCACTCAATTTGACGAATGTGCCCTCCTCATTGCGCGCCTCGCAGTGTTCACGATTTATGCGATAACGTAAAATTGGCATTTCGTCCAGGTCCGTAGCCTGTACTTGATATACGAGTGTGCCAACAGCAGTATTCTCCATGATACGTATAGACGGTAGCTCACCCAAAACTGGTGGCTTGTTATTCACATCCTTAATTGTTATGTTAACGGTTGTAGGGTTCATGAGTTGAGAATTTCCTATACCACCATCCAAAGCCAGCTGAGGGCAACAAATGAAATTCAATTTGACTTCCAACTTTATCATTTTTACGAAAAGTGCTATTCCTTACCACAGTCAACGTGTATACAAGTTTCTTCGGTTCTGTTAAGTCCGGATCAAGACTGGCGCCATGCGCTACCGATATTACGCCCGATTCCGAATTTATGATAAACTTATCACTCGCACCCATTTGGATACGATAGACAACCAGATTATTTGGTTCAGAGCCATCACGATCAATGGCCATCACTTGTAGCACCGAGCTGCCACCCGGAAGATCTTCAGTTATGGTTTTGGCGTAGAAATTCTTTTGAAATATAGGCGGATTGTCATTGACATCTTCGATATAGATCAAGACGGGCACCACTGTGGATAGCATAGGGATGCCTGAATCTCGGGCACGTACTAACAAATCGATCTCACGCACACCATTGTCGGCGCGCCGACGCACACGTCGTCTATTCTCTAGTAACTCCTCATAATCGAACGCGTGTAGTGGTTGCAGTAAACCATTTTCAGGATCAATAGTGAAATTTGCACGATAAAGTCCCTCGACAATTTCATAAGTTATCTGACTATTCTCGGTGCCTTTAAGATCGTTGTCTCGTGCCTCCAACATTAGTGGCGTCTCGAATTCGGCTTTGTTCTCCAGTAATTTGGCTTCATAGTGCCGTTGCAGGAAGATTGGTGCATTATCATTGACATCCTCAATATTGATAATAATCTGTGCGGTGTTACGGTTACCAATACCCACATTGTCGATCGCTTCCACGGTGAGGTAGTGTAAAGATATGATTTCACGATCGAAAGCTGCGTCGCCGGGCTGTTTTATGGTAATCACGCCAGTAATGGGATTTAGGTATAGTCTTAATAAATTAATAAATATTAAAAGTTTTTTAATGGACATTTTTATTTAATTTCACGCCTTACAAATGTGCTATTCCTCCACGTAGATTAAGAAAACGTATACCCATTGTGCCGAAATCGCCCGAATCTACATCTGTCGCTTCAATTTTGGTTATGATCGTGCCCAATTCACTATTCTCCGGTATGCTGACATTGTAAATTGCTCGTGTGAACTCGGGAAAGTTGTCATTCTGATCACGTATGTAAACTTGAAGATGTGCGAACCTACCGATGGAAAAAGAAAAAAATTCGAACAAAATTGTGGACAATTCAAGAATTCACTCACCCCCATCTAGTCGGCTCGTCGATTTCTCTTGCAAAGAGCGTGAAATTTATCTCCTTTATTTCCTCGTAATCAATTGACTTAGCATTTTTCACTCTCACCATGAAGTTAGCCTCATTCACCGCGACAGCAGGCACGATTTCGAAGAGATCATTTTGTGGATCCAAAAACAAGCGGAAGGTGCCATTATTGCCTACATCATGATCTTCCACGAAATTCTGTACGTCATCGTCAATAAAACTCAATGGGGTATTGCTTTGCGAGTTCTCATTAATTTCACAGCGATAAATTGATTGGCGGAATGTTGGTATTTCATCGTTGATATCCGTTACAATAACAGTAACTTCTGTTCTTACTTGCATCAATTCTTCAGAGGTGCTCAATTTCAACTGAAGCAAACAAATTTTTAAAACATATTCAGCAAAATAATTAAATAGTTTAGGTATTACGAATATATCGCGGGATCGATAGGTTTCAAGATCTCCACCTACAATACACACCTGTGGCACCTCTGTCGCCGTTATTCTCAATATATACGCGCCATTTACTTGCTGGCTGGTGTCCTCACGATCGAGCTGTTGAGTGGTGTAAACAACGCCTGTTTGACGTTCAATATCGAATAACTCATTCGGATCCATTTCATATTCTATCGGATTATTAATGCCGCGATCACCATCAATAGCGCGTACTTGTAGCACACGCGTGCCAACCTCTGTGTTTTCGGGTATGCGTGCTATCGCTTGAACTTGCACAAATTCGGGTGGCTGATCGCTAACATCAATCACCTTGACTAGTATGGCAGCGGTGCCGGTATTGACGGGTCCCTGATTAGCGCGATCCACAGCCAAGACACGTAATTGGTATAGACTTTTAGTCTCATAATCCAACTCGCCCGCCAGCCGTAGTACACCTTTGCCCTGATACGTTGATATGGAAAATATATCATTGTCGCCATCCAGTTCTTGTAGATAGTAGACAACTTGTCCGTAAGCACCTTCATCTTCGTCTGTTGCCTCTAATGTTGTTAATACACCGGGATCACTATTTTCTGGTATTTCAATGGCGCTTTGGTAAGGTAAAAAAACTGGTGCGTTGTCGTTAATGTCCTCCACAAGTAGTAGAAAACTTTGCGTGACATGATTAAAGTCGTTGTAATGATTATCGGTAAGTGTTAAAACTATGGAGTATTCATCCTGCAGCTATTGTAAACGACAGCGCAGAACAACAAATGAAGATGTTAGAGGCATTATTTACTATGAAAAGGTACAGTCAACCTACCTCTCTATCTAATGCTTTGGCCAAGTAGACATTGGCCTCACTACCACCTGTGTTTTCGATCCGTATGACCTCGCTATCTTTCGATGGACGCTTACCAAAGAGTAAAGGATCATCGTCGGGATCGTAACCTTTAAGGGTGTATATATGGGTACCTAAAAAAAAATAGATATATGCAAATCCTTTCTCCTTATCTTCTATGTAAGCAATCCCCTTCATTCACTTACCCACTGCAGTCTCCGGACTCTCCTTCAGTCGTAAAACAATTTCAGATTGTCCACCATCGATTGCGAACCTTGGCGGTCGATTACTGGCCACCGTTTGTAGTATGGTCAACGACACTAATGCTATTGAGCTTATATAAAAAACTACTGAGTTTCTAATTAACTTTAATCTAACTTTTCTATATTTGGTTCGAATTTCTGGTAACTGGGAGTTATTTTGTATTGCTCTCGCCAGAAGATTGTTGCGTGGCGATGCGCATTGCTGTCTTTTCGACGCAGTTTCGTTGTTCATGGTTTTGCCACGAGTATTTTTTCCTTCCTGGGCTATTATTGCCAAAATATTATACTCATGATTTATAAGAACTTCTAAAAAGTAGAAAAGAATAAAGTGAAGTTAAAATTAAACGGAATGTGTATTTAAAGATAGTTTTAAGAGCACATTATATGATAATATGGTGATGTATATTAGACTGATAACGGTGTTAATAAAGAGTCCGCAGAATTTTTGGAACTCGGATTTATTTTTCATCTAACATCATTTATCCTGATTCGTTGTAAATATTATCAGTAACATGATATTTGAGACGACAGGATGCTGTTGTTCTTAGGTTTCGGTTTAGCCCGAAGAAACCGAAACTAAATAGTAAGGCGGTTGTTGAGGAAGCTGGTATTAATATCGTCAGCACATGTCAGCAATGTTGATTAAGGAAGTGGCACGAAATGTATCATCCTGTTTAAAACCTTGTCTGTTTCTTACGTTGACGTCGAGACACATAAAATTTTCTGTTGCCAAAGGTGGATCTGGCAGCCACCGTCTAAGCGACTAATAAAGAATGTTGAATATATTACTGAGTACTAGGCCATTTAAAAAAATGGTCTCCACCGGATGCCATCTAAGGCACCGGACGCACCTGGAGCAGACGCCAATCGGAGAGGGAGCAGGGATAGGAAGACACAAACAGATTAGATAATCAGATATCTGACCTGGACCATAAGCAAATAATTTCATTATAAGCAATTATTCTTTCAGCCGTATCTTCTTCTTATTTATTGGCGTTGGCTCAGCTTACGCGATTATAGCCCATTAGATATTAGCGCGCTACTCAACCCTACTTTTCGCTGTTTGGCGCTAATTGGAAGTAACAAGTGAAACCAGGTATCTGATCCTTTCATCGGAGTAGAGGTCTTCCTCTTCCTCTGCTTGCACGTGGGTACTACATAGAACACTTTCAAAGCTATTGTGCATTCATTCATTCTGGCAACATGACCTAGCCAGCGGAGCCGCTGTCTATTCATTCCCTCGTTCCATCGTCTGTAGTATTCGCCGTTGCCAATGCCTGAAGGACCATCAATTTTTAGCAAAACTTTTCCCTCTTAGACTCCCAAAGCTGACTCAACAGATGGCTACATCGTCCAACCCAGGGTTTGGTTTTGTTCGTCGAGAGGACTTCAGCTGTATAATTTCACAGACCACATGGAAATTGCATGTAAATACATACATACATATACCCTAGAATGATGGAAACTCAAATGACAGGAGGCAGAGAGCCTTAAGCTAAGAAGAGCCTTAAGCTATATAAGAACTTACGTACCTCCCGCAAACTGCCTCTTTTATAAACTTCGATCAGTTCGTTGGATGGCTTAATTCTTTCACGCAATACGGAATGTATTACATAAGCGATATTGAAAATATTTATAATTGACGTAATGGAGTCTAGTCTTCCTTCTGGGTATGCACTCGGATATACTATTCCTATTCTTTCTACTTTACTGCGTATAGTAGAAATTTGAGTAATGACAAGGTAACCAAACTGAGCCAAAGGCTAGGGAAAAATTGTTCTCTTTGCTTCAGTGCAGACACTTTGACAAGTCAAATTGAAATGTCTATTCACCGAATGTGCGGCTCCAGTTTTGTAGCAAGTGGTTCACTTTTTAAAAAGATTCCAATACAAAAATTGTTAAAGTGTCGAAGGGCATTCACCTGGAATATTCGCTCCCATAATTGGGAAGGTATCCAGCCAGTTGTTTGAAGTCCTCATAAAAATGCAGGAAATGCGTTTAAGGGACGATTACCTTATTGGACTTGTATAGCGGGAGAGACTATGTCGTTGAGTTCTGGCATTCACATCAGTGGACGAAGGGTTTGTCACCATCCGCATTAACTCGAACTTCTCCAATGTAGATTTGATCTACGCCTATATCAAGACGGAAGTGAAAGACAATGTAACCAAAGATGCCTTCTATCAACATTCGAAACGCAACCATTAAGAGATAGCTTCTACGCTAGCTGGGTCACATCCTCCGTATAGACAAAAACTCTCCAATTCTGAAAGTATTCGATGTAGTACTTGCTGCTGCAAGTAAATGAAAAAGAGTACCTCCAATACGGTGGAAGTATCAGGTAAAGGTGGACTAGACTTTATTCAGTGTCTGCAATTGCCACCGAGCGGCTGAAAAAAAGAAATGACTGGCGCACTATTGTGAATTCGGCTATAAGTAGTTGGTGCTTACGTCAAAGCTGAGGTAGAAGAACAGACGTAAACTGAGGCGAGGTCTTTCTCATAGAGAGGACAGAGCACACTCAGGTTCCAATCCTCAGATATGCTTTCGCAGCATGTTCTTCTATAAGGAAGCAATTTCTTTTCGAAGTTCATTCGGATGATGATACAAAAGAAGGAATTTTAGCAAGCCCATTTTGGGGAAGGTTAGACTCAATCATTTTTGTCGCGCTTCAAAAAGTAAGCAATGAAAACCCTAATACAAATTGTAGCATAATTAAATCAAAGCCATACTAAACACCTTCGAAAAACTAAAAATGTATGTACAAATGTGTACAAAAATACACCTAAGATTCGACTGGCTGGTCATTAAGTACACAATGACGTTTGGGTGATGACGCTTACCGGTGTTTCTATATTAGATGCCACATCTTGATCACAACGCTGTGTTTGAATATGTAAATATATATGTGCTTTACAATAGAACATCGTTATAGGAAAATACGCATAACTGCCCGAATCGTACTTGACATCCATTTTGATGCGCATGCGCAACCATTGGCTACTAGACAGCTTAACAAAGCATATCCAAAGCCACAGTTGCTAATTTCCTCATAAGCAATTGCCTTTATTTGTATGTTTATTCAATTAATTTCGCTTTTTTTCTTTCTTTGTATAACGCAAACTAATTTTATCTTCGAGTTACTTGTAAATTGTAGTTGTAAAGGCGAGTGTTTTTGCAATAAAAACAGAAATAAAATTAGTGGTAATTTATTGCGTCTGTATGAGCTGTAGTGAAACATAATTATTTATCTTATTAATAAAGAATGCGGCCAGTTGCCGGAACATGAAAAATACTCTTTACTATTATTTACAAACATTCGTTACATACAGATTTATAAACAAATAAAAACTATTATTTATTCATGTGCAATGTGCTTTCACAAGATTATTGAAAAAAGCTCTCTATAATTTTTGAAAGACTAGTTAAATTTGTATAATAAAAGAGTGTAATATACTCCTACATATATACACATATACATTCATATATAATATATGGGAGACAAAATAACTTTGATTTGATTTTTCTGATTTTTTAGAGCTCCAAAAAGTCAGCGACATTCGCGCTTTGTGATTAAAATTTTAAGCTCTTTCTAGCACTAATCAACTGGAGGTAGCAATTAAATGAAAAAAATATTGTATGACACATGCACAGAGGTTTGCATGCGACGAGCATGCACTGTGCTTAGCTATCAACATACTAGGGATGTTCAAAAAATTACGAGAATTTTTATTTACGAGGTGTGTTCAAAAAGTAGCGCGAATTTTGAATTTTCGGGGGCTACGTATAATCGAATTTCGATTTTTTGTGGCGTTATGTTGGTACTCATGTCTGTCACTTATGCCGACAAGCCCGGCCGAGAAGATGTGAACGACGAAGAGCGTGACGGACGCCCGAGCACTTCAACCACAGACGAAAAAAATAATTGCAGGGGCGTGGTGCATCATGAGTTCTTGCCACAGGATAGAACGTTCAATAAGGAATGTTACCTGCTAGTTATGCGCAATTTGCGCGAAGCAATCCGCCTGAAACGCCCGGATTTGTGGAAAAACAAAAATTGGCTTTTGCACCACGATAACGCCCCTGCTCACACATCGTTGCTTGTGCGCGACTTTTTGGCCAAAAACAACACATTAATGATGCCGCAGCCACCGTATTCCCCAGATCTGGCCCCATGTGACTTATTCTTGTTCCCTAAACTGACGAGGCCCATGAAAGGACGACATTACGCTACGATTGACGAGATAAAGACGGCATCGAAGGAGGAGCTGAACAAGATAAAAAAAATGATTTTTTGAAGTGCTTCAAAGATTGGAAAACCCGTTGGCACAAGTGTATAATATCTCATGGGGATTACTTTGAAGGGGACAAAATAGATATTCATGAATAAATAAATAATTTTTGAAAAAACAAAAAATTCGCGATAATTTTTGAGCACACCTCGTATTTGCAAACACCGCTGTTCAAAATAGTTTGTTGTGCCAACTTTGCTGCCAATACCCAAATTATGTCTCGAACTCGATCTTTGAGATAGCCCGTAGTCCACGCACGTCCAAGGCGTTTATCATCTTCAATGTCTTAATGACCTTTGTATTCCTCATTGAGGACTCATTTTAGGCCTTGCTAGCACTTCACACAGTCTCTTATACTTTGTTACATTTTTGCGCAAAATTTTGTAAAAATTCTTTTAAAAAATTAGAATGAGCTCATAAGACACATATAACCTTAAGAGCGGCAGCAATTGCCGAGTGCTTAGCATTACGTATTGCTATTTAGAAGGCCAGGGTTTGAGTCCGATCAACGTCCAAAAAAATAATAGAATACACATTTCTCTAATTGTGGTCGCTAGTCGGCAGGGAATGTCAAGACTTCCGAGTACATTTCTGACATGAAATAAAAGCTCCTCATAAAAACCCATCTGCCGTACGGAAGCGATTCATAATAAAAGTAGTTACAAGTTGGTGAAGCATCCCGACTGAAGATCGCTTCAGCGGTTGTATAACACAAATGGCTGTCCCAGACAAAGTTAGCAGCAAAAACATCTGAAAGCTTCATCTGATTTCATGTTTGACAAACCAAGCTCACGAAACTTAAAAATTCTACTTATTTTTCGAACACTCCTCGTATGTTTATATGTATGTAACTTACATACACTTTAAATGTGCAACATTATGCACAGACATATTCAAAAATGTATCAACTTAAGTGTAAAATGCCAGTAGTTGGCTGCTTGGGAAATTTTCTTAATTATTGCCAACGCCATCAATGCATATTCATATTAAACACAGTATATATGTACATGTGTA